TGGCTTTCGCCTTCTGGTAAAGAGCTGGATCTGAAGTGGTTTGCCATTTCAGACTGCACCACATTTTCCCGCTTTCCCCCCGCCGTTTTTCGCCCGTGTGGGCGATCTCCGGCTTTTAAAAAAAAAACTTTCGCTTTAGAGTGCTATAGCACTATAACAATAGACTCAAGGCATTCCAATGGGGTTGATATAACGCTGTTGCATTATAGCATTATACCGTTATAGCGCTACAAAGCGAACGTTAAAAAAATAAAGCCAGAGATGGCCCGCGCGGGCAAAAAATGGCGAGAAAAAGCGCATCGGAACTGGGAGATGAAACTGAAGACTACTTGGAAGTGGTTGACAGGTAAAACACTTCAGCCCCGTTTCCTAAACGGGACAGAAGCGTTTGTGTCTGAAATTAAAATATATTCCAGTAGGGAACCGGTTCTAAAATAGTTCTGTCTGAAATGACAGACCAGAAACCGTTTGGGAACTGTTCCTCTTCTGGAATATATTGTCTGTCTGAAATTCCTCAAGGTTTTGACAAGAGCCACAGGTTGTTTCCTGTTTAAGAGATTTCAGTGGACTACAGTAAAGAAGAGCTGTGTTTGTGTGTATTTTGTGCTCTGTATATTTATCTCAGAAAATGGAAAGTGGGACAAAGCTAAGAATAGAAGAGGCAATTTGTGCTATAAATAGTTTACTGCGAGTTCAGCATGAATATCTTTTTGCAAATAGGATCTCAGTGATGCATGCGGCTTGCAGATGCAATGGCATATTGTGTTTGGGCATTGTCTACAAACACATCCTCTTAAATATATCTAAATAAAGCTATCAGATACTTAGATTTCTTCCTATGGAATTAGAGAGAACAACATTTTGTATATCAGTCTCTTTGAGGTGGGACCAGTGTTCCCTCTAAGCTGAGTTAGTGTGAGCTAGCTCACAGTTTTTTAACCTCCAGCTCACACAGTTTTGTCTTAGCTCAGGAAGGATGGCTCCAGCGCAAACTAATGTATGCAGCAGCCAGATCGTTCATTCACAACTTTAACGCCAGTAGCTCCCAAAGTAGAATTTTTGCTCACAAGACTCCACAGTTTAGAGGGAGCATTGGATGGGACCAGTGTTCCCTCTAAGCTGAGTTAGTGTGAGCTAGCTCACAGTTTTTTAGCCTCCAGCTCACACATTTTTGCCTTAGCTCAGGAAGGATGGCTCCAGAGCAAACTAATTTATGCAGCAGCCAAATCACCTGCTCACAACCTTAATGCCAGTGGCTCACAAAGTAGAATTTTTGCTCACAGGACTCCACAGCTTAGAGGGAACACTGGATGGGACTGGAGAGAAAATAGCCCTTCTGGCTTTATTTTTGTCTTTAAACTTCCTGCTTCCAGTTTGTCTGTCTCTGAACAACTTTTTAGTTCAACAAATGATTTATTGTTGACAATAGCCAGGGGAGAAAGTTTTTATGGTGCAAGGCAAAACCAGTTTAGCAGTTGTGTGCTGTATTTGCTACTTCAATATGTAGATGCTCTTAACTAGCTTAAACTCACTACAGAAGGAAAAAGGAATGTAGGATTTATAAGATACTTAATGTAAATTTAATTAGCACATTATTGGAACTTTTTTAAAAATAAAAGGAATATTTTAGACATCCATTTTTTTTAATAGCTGGAGGAGGGATTTTAATAGGATTTTCCAAACATTAACAACTTGCCAGAACTAGGAGAACAGCTGTTCCCAATGGACAGTTCTTCTCTTCTGGTTTTTTATACAACCAAAATTAGTGAGCTGGCTTGCTGCAAAATCACTTCTAGCTTCTGAGCAAACAAATCTAGTTCATTTCTAACCCTTGTAAATATGGAGGAGACTGCATCATTTAACATCTGCACTGAAATGCATTCCTTACACAGAGGCTATTCTTTCCAGGCGGAGATGGAAGCACCCACTATTAAACTAAAGAAGTCTACTTGGTTTCTTTGGCTTTTAAGTGTATATTACTAATGAAAGATAATACCTCAGCCCCCTGTGTTTATCTGCATTCTAAAAGGGGAAATGATTTGTTATTGAGGCTGAGAAATTGTGCACAGTTAGTAGTGACTGTGGCTGAAAAGGATTGCATTTGTAAATTCTAATTGGCTTCTCTCTCTGAAGTTGAAAGGCAGAATAGCTTTACAAATACGAATATTATCCCTGTAGTGAAAAACTACAGCTCTGTTTTCACTTTTGAATGGGAACAATCTGTCAATGACACACAATTAGGCAAGCTATAATTCTTCTGTGAAAGTTCAGCTAAGTAATGTGAAGCTTACTCATAGTGAGTAACAGTTGCCTCTGGCAAATATCCAAGGAGTAAACTGGACCTGCCCCAGTCCTGGTTCTTGCTGTCTCCTGTTGAGGGCCATGTATGCAAACTCCATAGTGCAATACCATGGTGAATGCATTGATGGCACTTTATTGTTTCTATTCTTTATTCCTTCTCCCTAGAGAGGGAAATGCTGTGTTCTGGTAACTATTTGCAGTGCTGTTGAACCTGCCATTGCAAATCATGCAGCACTGAGCTTCTGGAAAGCTGGAAGGGAAAAAATGGGTATGAAAAATGTGGACTCAGCAATTGTGTGAGAACTTGGACTTGTATCTTGTACCTTCAGCAATTCAGGACAAACTTATAGGGCAGGTGTGTAAATAGCCACTTACCCAGGCACCCGTGGTGACTTATAGGTGCCCGAGGAGGGAGGCTTTGTCATTAACTGGCTTTCTTGTTCTAGGCTAGATTAACTTGAGTATGTATATGAGCAGGTGAGCTAGTAAAGATTCTGATGGGCTTATTTATATAGCTGTTTTAACAGGATTAAAAAGGAGAAAAGGCTTGATTTGTACAAGCTACATTTTTACTATTTATGCGCTGAAGGGATGTCTCTCCAACCTTTATAGCTGGCTCATTTCAGCATGTCTTTTAGATCAATGCCATGAATAACTGGTGTGGAGAGGGGGTTGTGTGTGATGAGGCAGGTGAGGCTGCTTGTCCAGTGACACACCTTTACAGGCATAGAGTACTTGTGCTTTCTTCTACTGATGAAAGCAGCAAATATAGATATGTAGTTTAGTGAAGCACCAAGAGGACACTATAAATGTGGGAGTAAATAAGTTCATGTCTTTAGTATCTTTTCCCAGCCAAGATTGTATATTGATAGATAGAACAGGGAAGCAATATGTGTTGACTGGTACTGGGGGCATATATCTTCCCAGTGGAATTTCTAATCACTAGTTATATTTTAATCATGCCCTTGTTCAAATGTGCAGGGCACAGTATGTGATTTTCATCTCCCCACAGATAGACTAAGCTGAGAGGTAGGTAACTGGCCCAAGGTAGTCCAGTGAGGGTATGGCTGAGCTTCGACTCTAAGCCAGGTCTTGCTGATCCCAATCCAATTACTGTTTACAAGACTGGGCCTATTCCTCAAGTACAACAAGGTTTTATGTCAAATATATATCGATGGGTACAAATATCACTGAATCCTGGGCACCTAATTGGTATAGTAGCCGGTCTCTGTGTGATCATTAAGATAACTTATGCAGAGAGGTTAGGAGGCCAATTTTTTAATGGTAAAAGTGGTGTCCAGCTGAAGAGTGCAAGGCTCTCTCCCTAGCTCCTCTTTCCAAGTACTTTTCTCCTAGCTGACACGTAGGAGCTCATTGAAGAGAAAAGGAATGGGGGAGAAACTTGGGGGAATATTACAGGCATGGGAGGGGGCTTATGTTCTCTTTTCTTTGTTTTCAATTAGTTATATTTGAGAGCTTGTGAAGTGTTTCTTGAGATAGTGCTTCAAGATATATATTGCTATTTTATTATAGGCAACTTCCTCATTGACTGGGAAGGAACATAAAACCTGTTAGTAAACTGGATTATTGTGAATGACTCAACAGGTCACCTTTCCCCTTCCTGATTATTTTTTTAGTTGTTTGCCCTTCCTTTCCATGTTTGCTGCTGTGAATACAGTGATTCCTTCAAATGAGAAAATTCCTACAAGTCAACCAAAGATTGGAAAGCACTTACAAGCAAGCACTCACTTATGATGGCTTACTGACTACTTGACATACTATATTTGAGAAGTAGGAACCAACCATGCCTTCTTTTCATCTGTTGCTTGTCTGGGTTTCCTATTAACAAATCCAGGTGCTGAAAAGTATATGCAAGTTTTGTCTATAGATATCAAGATGCATGGAGTAAACATGTTTGTTACAATACAAGAAAACCATACAAAAACCACCTATCATCACATTTAAAAGCAGAGCTGCCAAACCAACAAATACATCATATTTACATCTTTTTAAAAAATGTACAACATATGATAATGGGGGGAATGAGAGTGCAGAATCATATGACTGGGCAGGGGTTGAGTGCAAAGACTTTGCAATCCACAAAGCCCACTAGATTTTCTAGAAGCCAAGGTTGGGATTCTCTTCAGCCCTAGCCTCAAAGGAACTCAGATAACCTGTTGGGTCTTTGTATTCTGATGTACCATCCTTTGAGTTTACTCAGGTAGTTGGACAACATAGACTTGAAGTATTTTCCAATTCTGCAAAGTATGGAATTGTAATCAGTTAATAAGAAGATAACTTCATTGCTATAGCCATCATACATATGCATGCACACAAATCAGTTTAGCCATCCCTCACCACTGCAGATCAACTTCTCTGAAATGAATCAGTTACTAAATCCATCTACTTCAAACAACAAACAAGTCAATACATCCATTCATAGTATAATTTAAAATACTTGGGAACTCGCACACTGAATGTAATGGACCTTATAACTTGAGAAAAGAATTCATGAGATCACTATAGCCACCTCAACAAGTTTTATACATGAATAAACATCATGAATCTGGTTAGAGGTCATATGCACACACACTATTCTGTTAATATTGCTAATTACAAAGTAATGACTTGCTATTTACACATGTGAAAAGAACTGTAGTGTCATCTTTTTGCACACGCCATACATGTTTCTTTGGATCATGGCTGCACCCAAGAAGAATGCATTTAGGATTGGAATAGAAGACCACATGTGCTGCTACCTCTTTATTGCTTCAGACCCTTCCTCAAAAAGTACCTTTGCCTTAATCTCTTGAGTTTCATTCCCAACTAATCACATTTAAATACTTGTTACTCCATCATCACTCATATCCTGCTGTCCAGGCTGGAGGCAAGGCCCTGGGCAGCCACAGAATTTCATGGTAACAGTACCCAGTAGGCAGACTTTCACAGTCATGTTCAGTCAACTAATAAAATCGCCAGGAAGGTTACAACTAAGTTAACCCTCCACACTGGCTCAGCCTCATTGCAGGTTTATAGAGGAAGTTTCCTTAGAGGTGATGCTGGGATCAGTGTTAGGCTCATCTAGCAAGCTGAGTCAGGGCCAAGATCCTGCAGTGACTTACTGATTTGTTCTGGTGCTTCCTTAACAGAGTGTATGCTATGGGCTGCCGGGCACATGCTCCTGTGCCAGGCCCCAGTCCTATCTCTTCACCTTTTCTGCCCCTGTGGTCCTTGAGGAGATTGTGGCGGGTCTGGCAGCAACCAGGTCCATGCTGGGACCTCCTGGCCTGGCTCAGGTGGCAGTGCTAGTGCTGGTGAAGCTTCCCTTGGGGAGGCACTGAAGAATCTGCCACACATTTGCTAGGACCTGGCAGGGCAGGTCCTCCTCCTTCAATGAGGACTCATCCTCCTGGGACAGTCCACAACAACTTATTACCTTTGTCTCTTCTTTCAGACCTTGCTTCCACTGAGTCTTAGAGTGTATGTTCCTTGAGGGAAGAGATCTTGTCTTTTTTTTTTTTTACTGTTAATATTTCTAAAGCCAGTCAATCAATGGCTGCTAGCCAGGGTGACTGAAGGGAACCTCTGTGTTTAGAGGCAGCAGACTTCTGAATGCCAGTGGTAGAAGACAGGATCAGGGGAAAGCCTTGGCCTCTGTGCCTTGTTTGTTGGCCCTCCAAGGGAACTGGCTGGCTGCTGTGTGAAACAGGATGCTGAACTGGATGGGCCACTGGTCTGATCTAGCAGGGCTCTTGTGTTCTTAAAGCACAATTATATTTTTCTTGGAAAGCAATTCTTTAGGAGAACTGTAACAAAAGGTAATGACGTTTCACCTGTACATCCTGTACAAGGAATTCCTTTGTAATGCAATGTTTGGGCTGTGCTACTGTGCCAATAGAAATCTGACCCAAAATTGCTTTTGTTCATACTTTTGGTTACGAAATTGTGCATTAGTCAATGAATGAAGTGTTTGTTTCAATTCTATATCAATCTTAACAGGCATCTTTGCTTACCTCAACTACCATGTGCCCCGGACAAGACGGGAGATCCTGGAGACCCTTATTAAGGGGCTCCAGAGACTAGAGTACAGAGGATATGATTCTGCTGGTAAGTCTTCACATGTCATTGGCATTATTTACACTGGGAACCTTTATGTGGGTCATCTTCTAAAGTTTCAAGAGGGTAGCCATATTGGTCTGCAGTAGAAGAGCTAGATGTGAGTCCAGTAGCACCTAAGAGACCAACAAGAGTTTTGGGGTAGAAGCTTTCAAGAGTCAAAGCTCCCTCCGTCAGCTAAAAGTAGGAGAGGAGATCCCTGAATCCCCTCCTACCTTCTTACTGGGATATAAGGACTCACAGATCTCCATTCCTACTTGTATCTGACAAAGGGAGCTTTGACTCTCAAAAGCTTATACCCTGAACATCTTGCTGGTCTCTGAAGTGCTCCTGGACTCAAATCTAACTCATCTTCTAACAGAAAGTCGTCGCCAATTAACCTCCCCCCCCAAAAAAGGCAAGGCTAGGTGTGATTTCTTCTATCCTTCAGAGCGTGCCAAATACATGGATAATTTTATCAACTTTAGATTTCATTGGGATAAATTTCAATCTAATACTTTCCATTTATGAATTTAGCAGTACTGCATAGACATTGTAGCTATTGTAGAGACGCTGGAGCATGTAAGGCTTAATGACTTAGGCTGAAACTAATTTGAGGAGATAATGGAATTCTCAGGCTCCCAGTTTGCATCAGAATCTTGGGCCCCACAGAGCTCATACTGCTGGCATCATGAGCTCCTCCCCCCAGTCAGAAATATGCGCTATGTAAATAGGTAATTTACAATTGTTGCATAAATAATTAACGACACACAAGATTATAGGGAGAGTGGCACATATAGTTAAAAAAAATTAAAAGTAATAAAGTGAAAGTTTGTGAATGTAAAAAAAAAAAGAATTTTATTTTTGTATTAGCAGCAAGTACTAAAAATATCAGTGTTAGTAGTCTTGTTTGTTGGCCAGTCTTGGTCAAGCAGGTTTTAAACAAAAAGACATCAAGTTTGACACCAGTCAGTCAAAGGGTAACGAGGAGGAGAGTATTCCAAAGATGAAACACCAGCCCCTGAGGGCCTGTCTTTAGTAGCCACCCATTTCACTTCTGAATGTAGGAGTTTATGGAACAGGAGCCACAAAAGAATATAACCGCTGGTCAATAGGGGGACTTTTGTTTTAAGTTCTCTGGCATTAAGCTGATGGCGTACCGGATTCGCTTCAAAGTGCTGGTTTTAACCTTTAAAGCCCTACATGGCCAGGGTCCGGCTTACCTAAGGGACCGCCTTTCCCCACATGTTCCCCCAAGGGCACTACGGTTGGGGAATCAAAATCTCCTGGATATTACAGGCCCCAGAAACATCAAATTCGCTGTCACCAGGGCCAGGGCGTTTTCAGTGGCGGCTCCTACCTGGTGAAATGAGCTCCCAGAGGAGATCCGGGCCCTGTGGGACCTGGTGCAGTTCCGCAGGGCCTGTAAAACAGAGCTCTTCCGCCAGGCTTTCGAGTAGGAGCTGCCGCCACCACTATTCCATCACCGCCCCTCATCTCTGCACCTTGACCATTGGTGGAGTGAGTATTATTGGGGGCGTGAGCCGTTCCTTGGCAGATGACAGTGTAGTTGGGACGCACATTGTTGGTCTGTTGTTCTGGTATAAAACTTCCAGAACCCCATCTTGAAATCTACGGTTAAGTAATTATGGAGCACCGACATTTCTTAGTGTATTATGCACAGAGGTCATTTCGGGGGGGAACGCGGGGGAGCGCAATTCCCCCAGGTGAGGTACGGGGGGTGCCCCGCTTCCGGTCCTCATTCAGCCAGGAGGAGGCAGGAGAAGAGGGAGGGTACATTGCTTCCTCCCTGCCTCTCTCCCCCCCTGCCTGCCTGGGGCCAGGGAGGGCCTTCGCGGGGCTTCCTTGCACTCCCGCCGGCCTTGCAGGTCCACCGCCGGGCCCCTCATGGGGCTCGGCAGTGGAGCTGCAAGGCCGGCGGCGGCGGCCGGGACCGTTGGGGGCGAGGTGTGTGGCCTTATGACACACTTCCGGTGATGTCAGGGGGTGTGGTATATGCTAATGAGTTATGCTAATGAGTTCCCCTAGCTCTTTTTCTACGAAACGACCCCTGATTATGCATATTGTATTTTATATTGTTTTATATCGTTCATTGTTTTAACCAGGCATTTATGCCCCTTGTGAGCCGCCCTGATCCTTCGGGGAGGGCGGGATATAAATGTAAAGATAAATAAATAAATAAGCTGTTTGGGGCGTTAAAGGCAAGGACCAGTGCTTTGGATCGAGCCCAGAAATTAACTGGCAGTCAGTGGAGTGAGTTTTTATTTATTTAAAACATTTATGTATGACTCTTCTGTCAGACACTTGAGGAGTTCCTTAAGCACTGGCAAGATACAATCACCATAGTTTGCCCTGTTAGCAATGACTGCATGGCTTGTATTTGAAAACCCACTTTTTAAATAATTTGCCAGACTTACTCAAAATTTAAGTTTAACTGTTATGCATTTCTCCAGTCTGAGTCACAGCTGTCACTTCTGGCTTGGAACTCTTATCAATGAGGGCATAACTTTGATTTGATGCGGGAAAACACCTGTAGAAGTTATTTTGGTGGTGTTGGTAAATTAGGCTATTTACTTTTCTCTGTCTCATTGGTTTTTCTTGCCTTCTGCATTTTAGGAGTTGGAATTGATGGAGGTAATGATAAAGATTGGGAGGCAAATGCCTGCAAAATTGCACTCATCAAAAAGAAGGGAAAAGTGAAGGCTTTGGATGAGGAAGTGAACAGTAAGTATAGAACTATGCAGTTCTTTATCTTTTTCTTCTTGATGAGCTTTCTTCCTGATTAAATGTTGGAACATGTTTGGGGCACACTGGAGAAACACATACCATACCCCTAATTATTCCATGTGATGGAAGTGTTTTTAAAATGCATTTTACAGAGTAAGTTAGATATGCTACTTCTCACTGTAGATCTGCCTTGCTTCTTGAGAACAAAATTTGAAGGACCAGGATACTTTGCTCTCTACACAGTACTATCTTTTGTAACTGTGCTGTTTCTTGGCCAGCTAGACCTTGGACGTCTTACATTCTCAACAGTCACCTTCTAATGCACGCGCTCACTCAATGTCTGTCTCCAGCCTTTAGTATCCTGAAACCCTTTGGCATTATCCTATGATGCTGTCCAAGGATGCTGCCTCAGTGATGGGGCTGCAAAAAGGAGAAACCTACCAGAACTTGACTACTTCAGTATGGGTGGTAGGATGAGCCTTTTCCTTTGTTCTAGAGGGCCACCGCTGCCAAGGTAACAGTCAAGCTTCATGAAGACAGTGGAAACTGAAGAATCTGCATTGGATATAAAGCTGAAGAAGCTGCTGAAGCCATTTTGCACCTTAATAGAGTTGGGATGGGCCCTGACCTGGATAGCTCAGGGAAGCCCAGTCTCATCAGATCTCGGAAGCTAAGCAGGGCCGACCCTGGCAAGTACTTGGATGGGAGACCTCCTTGGAATACCAGCAGTCAGGAGGCGGGGAAGGCCTTATTCAGCCACCTCTCTGAATATCCTCCAGGCCCCCAGTAAGGGGTCAGTCACCAGAGGTCACCATGGCTTCCAGGTTCACTCACACTCACTCATGCACACACACATGCACATATGAAAAAAATACAAAAAAAATAGAGTTGGGGTGGTACTGCAAGAAACCGGCAGTACAGATAAACCCCACCCTGTCCACAGTTAAAGGACATGTCAGTGTGGAGGCTGCATAGCTGTGCTGACTCCTCTGCCTGTCCCAGATTAAAGAAAAAAATGTCAGATGGAATTTTTATCCAATCTGTTTCTCAGGCAGTCATTGCCTGTTTAATACTGCTAACATCTTAGAGGAGTTTTAGTGTGTATTTTGACTTTGTGTGTGTTACCGGAAGCTGCCTTGAAAACATTTGGAGACACCGTGTATGTAAAGATTTAACATAAGCCTGATTTTGGGGTCAAGGTGCTTGAGCAAGTTGTGGCTTTGCAACTTTAGGCTTTCATCAATGAGACAGGTTATCTAGGCTCAGTCCAGCTAAGTTTAGTTATCTAGACTCAATTCATTTCAGTCCAGTTTCCATCCTCATTTTGGTTCTGGAACTAACTTAGTCATCCTTCAAAGAGATTCTTGTGGTTCTTTTGGTGATGTTCAGGACCTATGGCCATGGTGGCCCCCTGGATCAGTTAGATATCATGCTCTAGTGGTCCATGTCCTATCTGGTTGACTTGTTACCAGAAGATGGTATTCAAGTGGAAGCTGTTTGACTCCTTGGTACTTGTGCTACTGAGTGCCACAAGATTCTGTTATCTTGTACTATTTAATATATTTTCTGTATGAAATCACTGGGCGATTTGAATCAGGGTTTGGAGTGAAGATGTCACTCAGCTCTTTCTTTTCAGAAGAGGTCAGGTGAGATATTAAATGTTCTGAATAAGTATCCAGAGCAATGCTCCCTCTACGCTGTGGAGTCGTGTGAGCAAAAATTCTACTTTGGCCCCGGTCACACAGGAGGTTTAGGGTTGGAAGAGGGACGGATTGGGGGCGCAGCAAATGGATGCGAGCACACCGCAACATCTGGGAAGCTGCACGCACCCATCCCCGATCCGGCCTTTCAGGCCGAAAATGCGCATCAAAAAAGAACCTGCTAAAGAGCAGGACTTACCTAAAACGCCGCAGCAAGCGCGGCCGTTGGATCGCCGCCATGGCCGTCTGCAGGAGCAATCGAGGCTCCCAGCCAAACTGCGCATGCGCACACATGCGCAGCCAGCGGCCTCGAGCTCCCTTCCGTGGCTTTCTCCCCAGCATCTGATTGTGCCGGGGAGCAATTGCGAGGTGGCTCATGGGATCTGTGTGATCCCGCCGCCATGTGTCTCTTTTGGTGCTGCTTTCAAAAGCCGCACTTTGCCCGCATCAATTTCCCCCCATGTGGCAGGGGCCTTTGTGAGCTACTGGCATTAAAGTTATGAGTGAACGATTTGGCAACTGCATAAATTAGTTTGTTCTGGAGCCATCCTTCCTGAGCTAAGACAAAACTCTGTGAGCTGGAGGCTAAAAACTGAGCTAGCTCACACTAACTCAGCATAGAGGCAACACTGATCCAGAGGTGATAATGAACTGGATGAGTACCAAGAAACTGAAGCTCAAGATTGAGGTACCAGTAGTATAGGTAATTGGCCTGTCTTGGCTGGGGTTGTGTTTCTCTGAAAAGCAGGCGGTTAAATCTATGTCTGCAGATGTAGACTCTGTCTCATGAATCACCTTTCCCCAGCTTTGTTTGGTTCTCTAACTAATACCTTGACAGGTATGTCTGGCCAGAGTTATCCATGCTTTGATCACATCCAGGATAATTACTACTACACACCTTGTATCAGGCTGCCTTTGAAAATTGTTTAGAGACTTCGAAATGCAGCATCAAGTTTGCTGTATGGCATAAGCTTCAGTGAACTTTTATCTTGCCAGCTCTGGAAGATCTACATGGGCCTTGGCCACACAGTCAGGAAAATGCGGGGGGGGGGAGGTGTGGCTGTTTGCCCCGGAGCAAACTAACGCGCAATTGCGCGATCAGGCTTCGGGTTGAGGTCCCGTCGAGCTCCCGTGGTTAGGGGGGAGGTGCCGATCACATGACGCGGCAAAGAAGCAGAGCAGCGCGGCAAACGGGGTTGTGTTTTGTTTTTAAAACTGAAATGTGCACATGCTCCGTTGGGTGCTTGTGCGCATCCGTGAAGACTTGGGGGGGGGGAACCTTTTTGCAAGGGGACATGGGCAGGCGCCGGAACTACCACCGGAAACGCAATCAGATGCCCGCCCTTGCCCTGCGGTTTCCGGAAACTAGTACCTCCGAGGTACTAGTTTTTTACCCCGCATCTTCGGCGGGAAGCCTCGGGTGCGCCACAGGAGCTCTACGCTTCCCAGATGTGGCGGTGAGATCGCGCCCAGAAAATCCGCCTATCTTCCGTCTCTCTAGCATGCCTAATGCTCCGTGTGACCGGGGCCATGGATTGCCAAATTGTTTCTGCCCTCAATTCAAAGGGCTCATCCTTACTTCTAAAGCCCTTAAGAGGTCTAGAACCAGGTATTTAAAAGACCATTTATTTCCTATATGAATTTAAAAGCTTCTGTCAGAAGCATTGTTCCATGTTCCCCACTTTGTGGCACTGCATTTAATTTTATAGCCTACCTTTTCTCACTGGGCCCCAAAGCAGATTACAAGTATGAATCATTAAGTGCATTACAAAATATAACATTTGAATCCAACCACAAAGATTCCTAATACAAAAATACAGTTGGCCTGAGGCTGTAGAAGAAGCAGGAGACAACACATGCAAATATACCTGTTTACGGCAACAAGACTGTTTGTGTAGGAAAGATAATCAAAGTGATCTCCTGAGCTGAACCATTAAACCATAGGTTTGCTTTTTGCACATTTTGTAAAACAGTAGAAACATGGAGGCTTTCCTGATAGCCCAGGCAGACCATTTTATACTGTGGGAGCCACCATAGACAATGTGCATGAATGAGCAGTCGGGAGTTTGCAAGGTGGCACCTTCAAAAGGCTTTGCTGAGATTAGGGGAGCTATCTCAGTGAAACATAGATAGATGGCTTCAAGAGGCAGGTCTATTACAGTGGGGTGCCTCAACACTGGAACAGTTCAAGAAAAAATTCTAGACCTATCTCTCTGTCTTCCTGTGTTCTCTTATTTTGCAGTTTAACTGCTGCTAAGATCCATGCTGTTATTTTGCATTTTAAAGTTTAGATCTGATGTGTTCCTGATTTTGTTCTACTGTTTTGAATGAATAACATCAGAAGTTACCTTGAGAACTTGTGTGCTTGAGAATGTAGGACATAAGTACATAAATAACACCTGTTACTTACAATGTATGTTCTGGTAAATTTGGCCAGATGCTTAAGTGCAAGAAAGAAAAATGCATTTATGCTGCATTTTTTCACCTAATGCTGATACTCTGGATATAGGCCCATACACCTCATCTCACTTAAACAAACCTTATTAGGCAAAGGTTGCAACCACATTGTTCCATTAAAGGGCACTAGATGACTCTTAAAAGATGCTTTCTTTTCTCTATAAAGAACAAGAAGATATAGACCTGGACATTGAATTTGATGTACATCTTGGAATTGCCCATACTCGATGGGCCACCCATGGGGAACCCAGCCCAGTGAACAGCCATCCACAGCGCTCAGATAAAAACAATGGTGAGATATGGGTCTGATCAGGCAGCATCTTTCTGTGGGTGTTGGGAGTGAGATGGCTTTACTGGCCTGGCAGAAGGTGCTATGGATTATTTTGTAGGCTGGTTCTAAACTTAATTTTGTGTGGAGAAGAGAGGGCTAGCCAGAGACTTCTGGGCAGCAAGAAACTAAAAGTCAGCAAATCAACAGAGCTCTTCACCATTAAATGGTCTTTAAACAAAAGTCTAGTCTTGCATGTAGCAATTTCATAAATGGAAACTATTTTAAAATATAGCTTAAAAATAAAGTTGAATGATTACAACATAAATCCCTTGGAGATTTTTTAAAAAAGGTTACATTTGAGTGCTAGGTGATTAGATTGTGAATCTGTAATTTGGGGTATGGTAATTTGCCATGTAGTAACCTGTTAGTACTGCAGTAAGGATACCACATCACTAAAGTCACAAGAATGAGAAATAATCTCTCATAGAAAATTAATGGACATTATAAATCTGTTAATGTCCAAACTCTTAAGAACACATCACAACTGAAACGGAACCATAGTTTACTCTCAGACTTTGCTAATGCAGCCTGTTTAATATCCTCAATTATAATTTCTGGCTTAGTACAGAAAACCATTTTGAGTAATGGCCCACGGAGAGGATGGCTTACATTCTCTTTTACATTAGGAAATTGATCTATAAATGGGCTAAAAGTACATTACTGTTGCACTTGGATATAGTAGATAACATAGAGTAGTTCAGAGTTAGCCAGCCAAATGGGGACCGTCTGAGGCCAGGCTTTCTTCACTTTATGAAATCAGATTGTCCTTATTAGGTGCGCTTGTGATTTGTTAGGTTACCTTCAGGATTTCTGTTTTCTGCTGCTGTAGGATGTTTTGTGTAGGATGTTTTGCCTCAGAACAAGTCAGTTGGTTGTTTTGCAAGAAGAATATAGGGTCACTTTGATCTCGAAGGACACAGCAAAATTGCAAAGTTATTGATGTATCGTCTCCTTTCCCTTCCTTTAGAATTTATTGTTATTCACAATGGCATTATCACAAATTACAAAGACCTGAAAAAATTCTTGGTAAGTAAAACTTATTTTGCTATGCTGTGATTTAAATTTAAAAAGTTGAATCTGCTTTTATCATTGCTATCTATTCCAAATCCTGTCAACATTCTTTGGATGCTGGGGTGTGTGTGTGTGTGCTTGTGATTCACCTGGTGCAACAGATACTTTTTAAGTACCTGATTTCTGGATTACTGCTAGAATGTATAGAGTGGATAGGTTGTAAGATCCATGAGGTGGGAACATAGTCCCATGTACGTTAATGGTGCCAAATACTGCCATAATCGTAACTTATTTTGGCTTTCATGCCTTCCATACTAAAGTATCTGTTTGTATTAAATGTATAGTAGATTAATGGACCACAAGAAGGTGTCTTATAGCAAATCACAGCATTAATAGGTAAAAGTAAAGGTTCCCTTGCTCAAAAGCCAGTCGAGTACGACTCTAGGGTTTCTCCGTTTCAAAGCCAAAGAGCCAGCTCTGTCCGAAGACGTTTCTGTGGTTACGTGGCCGGCATGACTAGACACCAAGGCGCACGGAACGCTGTTACCTTCCCACCAAAGTGGTACCTATTTATCTACTTGCAATTTCTTGCTTTTGAACTGCTAGGTTGGCAGGAGCTGGAACTAGAGACGGGAGCTCACTCCATCATGTGGCAACTCCAGTCTCGAACTGCTGAACTACTGACCTTCCACAGCCTGCAGTTCAGCGTCTTGACCACTTGAGCCACCGCAGCTCCTTTACAGCATTGATAGGTCCAGTTAAAATGCCTACTGTGTCTGGCAGCAGTTCTTCAGGTCTCAAACAGAGCCTCCTTTAAAATGAAGATGCCAAGGATTGAAGTTAGGACCTGCTGCTTGCAAAGCATCTGCTCTACAGAGCCATGGGCTTTTCGAAATTTTGTACTGTATTGGCTATTGAAAGCGAAACAAAATTAAGAAGTCTTCAGGCTTAAGTTAATGAATGGATGAGCACTAGAAACCAACACTTTTCTCAGTGTGGTTTTATGGATAGCCCAGTCAAATGAATCAGTGGTTGAAATGGTGCACATAGTGGTCATTTTTTTAAAATATGTGCTAAAACAGGAAGATTTTTGTTAGAAAAGTAATTGAGGAAATATGCCATTTATATTTATAGTATGACTGTTAAAATAGTATGTTGTGGATTTTGTTCCATCTGAACCACATTACTGTGCTTCATATGATTACTGTTTGCAATATTTTCCCCCCACTCTGCTTTGCTTAGTAATAATCCTTATTTTTCTTTCAGGAAAGCAAAGGATATGAATTTGAGTCTGAGACTGATACAGAAACAATTGCTAAGCTTGTCAAGTACATGTATGACAACCGTGAAAGTGATGATATCAGTTTTACCACTTTGGTAGAAAGAGTCATCCAACAGCTGGTAAATTGAGATTGTTAGTAAACCATTTCTGTCCCATAGAAAGCAGCTTGATGCCACATTTTGCTAAATGCGCCTTGGGGCTTCAGGAATTGTCTGGCTTGATCGTCAGTGTAGGGCGGAATGCTTTTGTTCAGTATTACTTCACTAAGCAATGTGAGCTGTACTTTTGGTTTTGAGCTTTCATCAAACAGGTTAATGAAGGAGTTTAGAGAACCCTGCGTGACAGAGAATGTTTTTTACTAATGCATGATATGTGCATATGTGTGATTAACTCTTCAAGCTTACATTATTTATTTACTTCATTTATATAATCCCCTTTTCTTGCTGAGACTCTAGGCAGGTTACACAATTTAAAATGATGGAATAAGAATGATAGAGAGCCAATAGTGAGTAAGACTGAATTACAAAAATTAGAGAGCAATACACCAAAAACAATTTAATACATATAAATAATGTGATGGAACTGAACTGCAAAAAAGGGGTGAACGATGCAATAACCAATGTAAATATTTAAAAAAGGAGGAAAGCAAGGAAAACAGATGTAAATTTATGTATTTTCCTATTATTCCTATATTCCCTATTATACACATTTTGTGGAATATTAAGAGCATGGGATGTTTCCTGTAGAACATGCTGCTGCAAGATATCAGCTTAGTTTTGCAGAGGTTGCACTTGTCTCCATTGGCCACCAACAGAGACTGTCTTCTGTAGCACATGGTTTCCTTAACTGAAGTGAACCTTGGACCAGAGTTCTCCAGGCTCACAGCTCTGTACTACACTGTATCACATATAACTGTCATGTGGTTATTGACATCCTGTAATTTATACAGCCTCTGAATTCTCAGAAAAGTGTGTGCATGTGCTTGAACAACTTGACTGGAAATATAACTGAAACATTTGTTTTCTCTCCACAAGGAAGGTGCATTTGCTCTTGTATTCAAAAGTGTTCACTATCCTGGTCAAGCAGTTGGTACCAGGTAAATACTACTTCAGTATGCTTCTCAGGTAGTCTATCCATTTGAGTTATTTGCATCTGTCATATGGGTAGTCCCTCCCAGACTGTTTTAGCCAAGAGTCAGGAAATTCTAGCTGCTCTATCTAGGAATCTGACTATCATATTTGTAGTATTTCCTGTTTTCTGCATTACAAACTCTTCTAACATTTTACAGCCCAGATATTCTACAAACTAAAGGTATATTTATGCTCCAAACCAATTTGTTTTATACCAATTCAGTTGCCATAATTTATCCCCCAAAGTCCTTGGGAATTCCTGACTACCCCTCGTAAAATTACAGTCCTCAGGAGGTGAGGGTAAAACATAGTTAAATCTGTGGTATAGCTTGACCCCCTTATACATAGGTATTATTTGTCAGTCAAAGCCTATATAAGATGTAGGGCCCTTTAGAAGTTAGGCCACTATTGTGAGCTATGTTTTCAAGTGACATGAAAATGTTTTAATTCCAAATTCAATCCCAGCAATAAGATCTTTCCAGCTCTGAATTTGTTTGCAGTGGCAGAGTAATTTTGCTTGCTGCTTTCCATCATGTAATGTTCTCAACTTGCATGTTGTTTAGCACTTACCTCTGGGTCCAACATACTATACCGGCCTTACCCACATTGGTGCCGAATACTAATCTTACTCTTTTTCCTGTTGTGCTTTGATCTTACTACCTCCAAGACACAGTTGTTTGCCCTTGATTTGTATCAAGGTTCATTTGTTTTTGGCTCTGCTTAGACTAAGCAGTCATTAGTTGCTCCCCCCCCCACCATGCTACACCAAATTATGTTCACTGCCACTTACAGCTGGATATTTTGTTTTCAGAAGGGGAAGTCCCTTGCTCATTGGTGTGCGAAGTGAGCACAAGCTTTCTACTGACCACATTCCAATACTGTACAGAACAGGTAAATGCATGAGCCAAAGCTGTATGTTGCCTTTTATGCAAGTGCTGCAGAGATGAGGATCTGTGTGCTGTTGGCTAAACGAAAAGATAAGATGATACCAGCTGTGCATTCCATACTGTGGTGGTGTTGTTGTTATCATTAATCATCATCGTTGTTGTAATCATTAAAACAAACTGTGTATGAAGCAGACAGATTGGAGCTACCTGTATTGGGACTGTGAAGGACACAGTCTTTCATTCTTAGGGTGTTGAAGCCCTTGCAGTAGCAAAATCTTTCCAAAGGCTGTTTACAGTACAGACCTTTGTTGGCTTTATAACAGTTGAAGTGTCATGATTTTCCCTCTAAGAATCCTGGTAATGTTCTCCTTGTACAGGGAAGGTAGAGCAGCATATATGGGGGTCATTTCTTCTTATCGTTGCAGCAGTCCTGTGTGATAGCTTAGGATGAGAGTAAGTGACTGGCCCAGTCTCATCAAGCAAGCTTTGTGGTTGAGTTGAGGGTTTCTATTCTGATCCTCCTGGTTCATCTCCAGCATTCTGTTTGCAACACTGCCTTGCCATCCTTTCACACTGCCTGACATCGACAGTCGTAATTGTTAACGCTTATTACAGGATTCGAGGAACAAGCATTTATGCTAAAGTACCCAATATTCTCTAAGGATGGTGTGTTAGGGTCATCCTTGCCTCTGCAGGGTAAGGTGGTGCCTGTCACCACTGTTCGTGATGAGTGTAAAATACCCACAGTGACTTAACAGCAAAAAAGTAATACTTGAACTGAGTTTAAATTGAAGTATGCTTTCTGTTTGTATTAACTTTGTTTCTTTAAGTTAACATTTCTTTTTGTTGCCAATGACTCTGAAATTGTTTTCCGTGTTACAATTTCATCCACACAATTTGTAGATCATTCTTTTGATGGAAAATCCATAAAACTGGAGGAAGGTGCCTATGACATAACGCTTAATTCTACAAGTTGTCCTGATCTTAGAAGATTATTTAAAATGAGCCCTGTCTCTTTAACGTGTGGCGTACTGCTTTCCATTCAAAAGGATGAACGTATTTCCCACTGCATGTTTTGTCCCTGTTTATAACATCTAGTAAGCCCCATGGCTGTTCTGTATTGTTGAATTTCTTTACTGACCAGTATGTAGCAGCGTATGAGCATCAGCCTTTTCAGTTGGATAGGTTGGGTTCTACTTCAGTGAGAAGCTTCTGTTGTGAGCATTGCCTGGAGAGATCAGTTTAAAGAATAAGTACGATGTAAAATAGATCTAAAGGAGCTGTGGTGGCTCAAGTGGTTAAGATGCTGAACTGCAGGCTGTGGAAGGTCAAGTAGTTCAGCAGTTCGAGACCCGGGTGCTGCATGATGGAGTGAGCTCCCATCTCTAGTTCCAGCTCCTGCCAACCTAGCAGTTCGAAAGCAAGAAATTGCAAGTAGATAAATAGGTACCACTTCGGTGGGAAGGTAACAGCGTTCCGTGTACCTTGGTGTTTAGTCATGCTGGCCACATGACCACAGAAACGTCTTCGGACAGCGCTGGCTCTTTGGCTTTGAAACGGAGATGAGCACCGCAACCCTAGAGTCGGATTCGACTGGCTTTTGAGCAAGGGAACCTTTACCTTTAAAATAGGGAAAGGAAAAAGAGGGAACGCTACATGGAGTAAATTGAAAATCTCCATGTAGCTGTATTCCGCTTCCCTGTCAGGGAGTCCTAACAGCAACTTTCACCTATTAAAACAGCAGAATTGGAGTGGCCAATTGACAGCTCAACTAATTATTTTATGGCCTGATCTTCTTTGAGTCCACATAATATGTAGTTGGGCCATAAATAAGCCTGTCTTTTTTCAGCCAGCATTGCTTTGTTCTTTCCTGAGAAAGGGGTGCACACACATGTATGCACCCTTACATGTATCCCGAATGGCTTTTGAAACTCTTCCAAGATTCAAAAGCCATGTCAGTTTGTGGGCTTGGTAGGGCACTCACCTGATCTTAAAAATTCTGTGCATGGATCAGTTAAAACTCATCAGATAGATTTAAATCTGTAACACATACACCTGAATCAAAGCAATACAGCCGAAAAAGGCATACATGGTGCAGCAGTAGGGGTGTGAAGAAAAAACCCCTTAGTACTTAGTACTGAAAAATAATGAACCCGATACTCCCAAATCCCTGTACTGATATGTTATTTGGATTTGGGAAATATTTGGGCTTGCTCAATTTTTTTGATATGGGGTCCATTAGAGTCAATAGTCCCCATAGGCTATAATGGAGAATTGATCTGGGGAGATATCTGGGGCTAGGGAAGGGGGCTATATTTTTGAGGTAGAGGCACCAAATTTGTAGCATAGCTGCTGGTGCCTCTCCTCAAATCCCCCCTAGTTTTAAAAAGATTGTACCAGGGGGTGTAGTTCTATAAGCCCCCAAAGAAGATTCCCTCATCCTCCATTGTTTCCAGTGGAGGGGAAAAAAGGCATTTAAAGGGATCACAGTCCTTTTAAATACCTTCTCCAAGCCGCACAACTCCATGGCAAGTGAACTCCAAAGGCATTTAAAGGGCCCACTGTCCCTTTAAATGTCTTCTCCAAGTTGAGGGTGAATTCCGAAGGCATTTAAAGGGACTGAGAGCCCTTTAAATGCCCTTGAGCTGCAGCTATCTGGTGGTCCTGAAGAATCCAGACTATTTTCAGAGGTTTTCACATTTGCCATTTTCAGATAGCTGGATAAGTAGCCCACCAGCTAATCGGCTGAAAAAATACCCGAATTTTTTTCGGCTTGGTTTATGCTGAATGCACACCTCTATGCAGTGGGCATCTTCACTCTAGAGGAAGTATTTCTCTTCTTGGGTGAGAGAGAAGTAGGGATGCTTCTTCTAAGATGGGTCTCGCCACCCAGAGTTGTTGTATAAAGACAATGAACAGTTTAAAAAATCTGCTCCCTCATTACTTAGGCACACCTTTTTCATCAGTTGAAAGGCTTTTAATTGGTGGTTTAAAATTAGTACAGTAAATGCTGCTGCTATAAGGGTTTAGGATTTTCAATCTGCAATCTATAGTGATGGACCAAAAAAATGTAATGAATTTGTATCTGGCCAGGCGCTTGGTTTCTTAAGCCCTTTTCAAGGATGCAAAAGCAGATACAAACATCTGTACCTCTGTAGCATACACACACCTTCAGCTACTAACTAGTGTTTTTGTGTCTGTTAACAACAAGATGTCGAACACAGATTAGACTGTTTTGATGGAAAGCAGTAGCAACATAATGAAGAGTTGCAGTTTCGGGCAATGATCTGCATGCGATAATCAAGTGTTGGTGGGTAGGGGCTTTTCACTTTAGCAAAAGGGTATCTGATCCCTCATCTGGTTTCACGGCCTTCTGCTGATTGAATTGGAAACCTGGGTTGCTTCCACATGAACATCTTGCTCCAGCTCTATGTCTAAACAGGAGCAGAGTATTTTGTCGGGGGAGCTTCCACACAGCATCTCATCATCCACTTTATGTGCTTTCTTCTGCTTTGCTGCTGTCTTTATCAAACCTGGTTTGGTGTGATCTTTTGGGAAGGACTGCAATCTTTCCATGCCACGTGGATGGGGAGGTGTGCATTTTTGCAGGGCCTGCTCACTTCAGCTCCATTTTCCTTACCTCAGTCTCCAGTGGCTGTCATCTCCCCTCACTTACCACCAGAGGGCTTTTTCAGGCTTTAAAAAAATCAGTAATTGACACATTGCTCTAGTAGCTTAATACTATAGGCCAGTTACTGGTTGCATCCAAACAGGGTTTTTGCTCCATGCAGGCAGCTGGATGCCCCTGCTTTTTTGGGGGAGGGGAGGGGGCTCCCACACAGTGACGTCATGCTCATTCCAAGTGCAACTCACAGGGCTTCTGGGGATTCCTGTTTAAGCTGGAGCAAAGGAAAATCCTCCTGTGCTCCGTCTTAAATGGTAAATCTGTATTGTGGAAGTTCTACTGACAGCCGTTCTATCTTCAGAATGACTAAACTCACCTCTGTGTTTCTCCTTCTCTTTTCAGCTTTTATACAGGCTTTCCCTCTCCTGTTCACAGCTGAACCACAGTGTTCCTTTAACTATAGCTCAGCTGTGAAGAAAGGGGGTGTGCCAACCTTGATAGCTGACATTATTGTGCCCACCTGAGGAGGGTTCAGGGGCAGGAGCAGCAGTGAGCAATACAGTGCCCGAGGATGGTGCCCCATCCACATCCACCCTGCCTACTGCTGCATTTATAGCAGAGGGGCCATTTCATACCCCTGTGTGGAGGCTACTTCCCTGTTTGTTTTTTAAAGCCTGAAAAGCCCTCTGGAGACAAGAATGGCAGCTGCAAGGCCCTGGGGCAAATAAAGCGCAAGGGAAACTGGGTGAGCACTGTTGGCACTGCAGAGGCCTCTGTATTTGCAGCACCAATTGAGAATTGTTCCCATGTGGAAGCAGCCCTGCTGCGTGCAGGCATGAGGAGTTCTGACTTACTGGAATCCCGAACCTGGCTCAGTATTTTTGGCAGTATCAACATGAAAGCATTGTTTAATGCAAGCCTTTATACTTTGTTTAACCAATTATCATTTTGAATGCTGTTAGGTTTACTTTAAGGTTATTTGGAAAATGAAAGCAAATTAGGTTGGTAAAAATAATGCCAAATGCTAGAGAAAGTATGTGTGCTTAACGTGGTGACAAATTGCATAATTTGTTCACCTTATTTTTGAAAAGAAGAGCAACTTATTCTGTAGTTCTGTAGATCAAGATGGGTAGCCATGTTTGTCTGTCTGTAGGAACAGAAAAGAGCAAAAGTCCAGTAGCACTTTAAAGACTAACAAATTTTTTGGCAGGCAATGAGCCTTCGTGAGTGACTGTTCACTTCTGATCATTTACTCCTTTGTATACAAATGTTCTTTATAGAACACTAAAATATTTTCTTCAGCTCTGAATGCCAAGCAGAATATTTTAGCTTTCTTGTCTCCTACACAATATATCATTGAGAGAAGCTTCCTGGTAGCATGTCTTTTTTTTTAGGAAAAAAATATTGACTAGCTTTGTAACAGATCTAAAAATGTACACTTCACCAGTTCAGTGCAATATCATCTCTTCCTGCTAAGATACGATTCATAAGCCAAATACTCAAAGAAGCCCGCTTGTATGCAGCAAAAATATCTTAATATAAGTAGTTTGGAAGATTACACCCTCAAAGTCAGCCAGAGTCAACAACTGAAGCAAAAAAATTGCATGGCCAAGTTGGATCTCAGTTTGGGAACCCCTGACTTAAGAATTTCATATGTGTGTGTTTTTTTTACCAACCATCAAAGAGCTCATCCTAATATTTATCATTTGCTTAGTACTTCAAAATACTTAGATATGTTATCACAATAATCCATAGAGCAGCCTTGTAAAATAGGCCATTGTTTTTATCTCCATACTTCAGACTGGGGACTGAGGTAAAAAGTGAGGGGCAATTGAACTGACAACCTCCCAGACCACAGCTAATAAAGCTTTCTAATATTGCAGGAGAAGAAAAAAGGGAACTTTAATTGGCTTTGGATGGAGATGGAAATGGATTTGGCCTGGATTTGGATGCATGGATTAAACATGTGCACTCAAGAATGAGTAGATTATCTCTGTTGAAGGATGCATTTCTTTTCCATACTCAGCCAGTTCTCACTCTTTATTTTTAGTCAAAGCATAATCCACTGAAAGGCTTTTGGTGCATTATGCATCAAATACATCTTCCATTTTATTTTTAGTAGAACTTGCACAGATAATATTCCTAGTGAGTTGTGCTAATGACATCTTAACAAGTGAAGCTTCATGTTGGTACTGTGACTTGGTGACTTTGGGTAAATCATATCCAAGGGATGTGCACTCTGTTGCTTTGGGTTGGTGTGCATAGTTACGATAGCTAATAAAGCTTTCCAACACTGCAGGTAAGGACAAGAAAGGGAGCTGCAGCCTCTCCCGTGTTGACAGCACCACCTGCCTTTTTCCTGTTGAAGAGAAAGCCGTGGAGTATTACTTCGCATCTGATGCCAGGTCTGTGGCACCTACTTAGTTAACAAAAAGGACCCCGTGGCTGCTTTCCACGTTGGGTATTGGAGTGGAGGTCGAGCAAAGGGGCAAATGCAGAAGTGGGCCACTTCAGCAGTGAGGATCAGGGAGGAGAATATAACACGAACCAAAGATTCATTATTGATATTATGCAGTTTATGCTATTGGTGCATGAGTAAGATAAGTATATCACCTGAGAGTTAGGCTTGATTGACCCATGTGGGAGAATGAAATGGGAATGAGGTGGCAGAGCCCTAGCATTGGCACAGTGGACTCTTCCACTTCGGGTTGTGTATGGAGCATCACATTTTGGAATGATCTATGTTAGAAAGCTCCCTTCAGGTAAAAATCAACACAGCAGGCCAAGAGCAGGAGATCTCAGCCTTCTCCCTGCTTTACTAATTATTTGTTTGCATGGAGTTTTGATGTCTATTGGAACATTCAAAGCGGAACCAGCCCTCCCCCTTCCTCCCACAAGCTGGTGCAGTTTGTTTTACTACCTTAGAGCTCTACCACTTCATTATCATACATATGCGAACCAGTCTTTAATTAGTGGACTACTTAAGTGCAGTAGGGCTTGAGCACAAGGTGCCAGGGATCCAGTCCATGCTCAGCTATGTAGCAAACAGTGCATCCTTGGGCAAACTTCATATTTAGCCTGTCTTATAAGGGTTATAAGGATGTCAGTCTGAAATCCTCAAAGACAAGGTGGGAAGCCAACGTGGCAAACACATGCTCTCTCGTGCAGTTGCACAAGATGTGCAAGACAAAATTTATGCTGAGGAAGATCTAGGTTTTATTGGCTGTGACCTGGTTTATGAACACCTCCAGCATCTGGGATGCTTTCAGATGAAGGAAGAATTATTATAAATCAGGAGCAGATATGTGATCATGTGCTTTTCATCTAAAATCGTATAGGAGCTGAAAGGTGGTTTACAGTAAAATCCCATATTAGACTGTCGACTGTGTCATCTTCAGTGGTTACTATTGCTGTCATCAGGGGTTGTCTTTGCTTCCCTATCATTCCCACCATTTGACAACATTCTCAACTTTCTTAACAGTGCAGTTATTGAACACACCAACAGAGTGATTTTTCTAGAGGATGACGATGTGGCAGCTGTTGTGGACGGCCGTCTCTCCATCCATCGAATCAAGCGCACAGCTGGTGATCATCCTGGCCGTGCCGTTCAGACCCTGCAGATGGAACTTCAGCAGATCATGAAGGGTATGCATTTGTGACCAGGACTTTACAAACAGCCGATCCCTGTCAGAGAGGCCCAGTCTCCTTTGTATCCTTCTGTTCCTTGGCCTGCCGTGGACTTGCCCTCCCAGCCATGGATTCTTCATTTGCTTTCAGCCAGGCTTGGCTGTGTGTGAGAGGGGTCAGGCAGAGGTGCTCTTTTTCCCTCCTCATATCTCTGGCAGTCTTCCTTTTGGCACTTGGGGGGGGGGCTGTCTGGCACCACACTTTAGGGAACCTTGTGTTGTGGATTTCCTCCACTTAAATGGGAGACCACTTCCTGCCCCTCGGGAGTTAAGAATGGAAAGTAAAACTGAGCATTGTCCCTCCTACTAACCAAAACATATTTTAGTTTCCAGACTGGCCCTCAGTGGGATGCAAAGTAGTGGTTTTGGGGATTCGAACTGGCCACACCCTCTTTGTCCCTTTCCACTGATTCAGGCTCCGTTTTTAACACAAATTTTTTAAAGGCAGTCTAGTCCTTCCGTGTGTCTTTCTGGTTTCGGACTGTCACTATTCATTGTTTATCCCTCATCATGCTATATTCAGCGACTAGCACACTACACACCATAGCAGAAGTTGGTTTATACATCCAGCCTTCAGCTTTACTTTTTTCCTTACGATGGAGGACAGTAAAATGGTTTCTTTTCCCACTGTGTTATCTTGTGCTGGGGTGATGTTATCAACAGAATCAAGATACCACATTGGAATCAAAGTTACAGTTGTGTTTCCCACACAGTAGTGTTTCACACACAGTATATCTTTTGTTTCTTAAAGGTAACTTCAGTTCATTTATGCAGAAGGAAATTTTTGAGCAGCCAGAATCTGTTGTTAATACCATGAGAGGAAGAGTCAACTTTGATGACTACACTGGTAAGTTGGGGTTTTCCCCTCTCCATAATTTAGGGATATATATTTTAGTGGCTATTAAAATGTGAGTCAGGACATGTTATAGTTCTTAAATATATTTATTTTAAGCAACATTTTTTTCTTTAGCAAATATAGTCTCTGGGATTGCTTTAGGAGAATGGCATTTAACCCTTTCCTCCCCCTTTCATTTCCCACCTGGGGAAACCTACCCGCAAATGGTATTTACTCCTGCTGAGGAAAACATACTTTTTTTTTCACCATCTGGGAGAGAAAATCCATCCATTTTCCCCCTTTATCTCTTCTTACAAGCTATTTACTAGGTAGGGCTACACTTGATACTAACCTGCTTGACAGTCAGTAAGGACAGTTAGCCACCTTTTCTCTCTTTATCTTCCCTGTATTTACTCCTGCTGAGGAAAACATACTTTGTTTTTTCACCATTTGGGAGAGAAAATCCATCCATTTTTCCCCCTTTATCTCTTCCTACAAGCTATTTACTAGGTAGGGCTGCACTTGATACTAACTTGCTTGACAGTCAGTAAGCACAGTTAGCCACTTTTCTCTCTTTATCTTCCCTAGGATGATATCTCCTGAAACCCATTATATTAGGCCATTCCCCATAGCTGGGCCAGGGGTAAAGTGTCTTTTAACCAATAAAATAACCTTGAAGATCATCATTGATGCATGTTTGTTTGTTTCTTTTGTTCAGTTAACTTTCTATGCTAGAAATAATATCTAAACCTTTCTGTCTCTATTTGTAACAGTAAATCTTGGAGGCTTGAAAGATCACATTAAGGAGATCCAGAGGTGTCGACGTCTGATCCTTATTGCTTGTGGGACAAGTTACCATGCTGGAGTTGCAGTAAGTAACTGGCCCTGGATCTTTAAGTAGCATTTTGGGCATATTTAACAAGTTAGCGTGATAATTTGGAGACAGGAATCACTGTCTGGCCAAACAAACAACTGAAAATTTTGTTCTGCAGGCGCATTAGTTGATTCAATTCTGATAATAGAATGCCATGCTAAAAATGGATCATGTATAACTTAACATCACATAAGACTCCAAATATGTCTCAAACATACACCAGTATTGAATACTGGTGTATGTTTGAATGTATTGAATACTGGTGTATGTTTGAGAAATATATGGAGTCTTATGTGATGTTGAGTCATACATGATTTATATTTATTCATCTATTTCCTTAATTCATTGTTAGTTATGCTAAAAATGGAAGCAGCACTAAAGTGTACACTGCTTCAGACTGGAAACAATTAACAATCAATGTGAGCATGGAAAGGACACTTAGAACCATGGGGAACCATGGGGCCTCCTGGTGGTGGTTCCTTGTCTGTAGTAATCATGACACTCCATCCTTACTCCAGGTTAAGTGCATTGAGACACTCCGCATAATCCAGTGGACTTGGGTGTGAGATAGAAATGAAGAACAGAATGCTTTCAGATGGTGACAAACCATTTTGGAGAGTGGCTTCCCCAGCAGGCTTGTCTAGGCTCCTCCTTGCTAACTCCTCTTGCATTTCCACCTGCCAAAATGACTGCCCATGGCCATCAGGAGGAAGCCATCCCTTCAGGGAAGTTTTTGCCCCCCCTCCCCCGGCAATTTCCCCCCAGATTAATGGCTATTAGGCAAGGTATGACAACCTATCCCCATTCCCTCACTCAGACGCAGGATTTCCCCTCTGTGTTTCTCTTCCTTTCTGACTGAACAGCCACTTAATCTATTTTCTTATTTCTTGAAGATCTGTGGCTGTTGCACCCTGTTACGTTATTGTACTTTTATGCTGGCTCAGTCCAGAAACTTGAGGGAAGAGACAAGATCACCCTCTTAACTTAAACTTCTGAAATGGCACACAAGAGGCTATATAACGTTCAAATATAAACAAAATATTTTATTCAATGTAGAGGGGGAAAGATCAGGTGAAATCAGGTGTAAAATGTCTGAGCCTGGTGAATCAAATATAAGTCTGAAGTGACTTATAATCACAAATGCCAGTTCATGTTTCCAACACATGAGAGTTCTTAAGTTTTCCACAAAGTCTTTGAAACTTCAAGATGAGAGGCTTTTGTTTCAATGTTTCCTAAAGTATACTTTCTTGAGTTTTTGTTTCAATGTTTCAATGTTTCCTAAAGTATACTTTCTTGAGTTTAACTGACTTTTCAGGTTTCAGAAAGCAGGGATACACTACCAAGAACCCAAATTCCTTCTGTGAACCCTCCAGGGATCACTCCACTCTTTTGTGGACCCTCCAGAGATCACTCCTTTTAACTGGGCAGGGAATCTCTTCTCTAACTAGAAGATCTATCCCTTTTCCTGGCCCAAATGGGGGTCTTCACTGATCCACCCACTTCTCCTTGCCAACCTCCCCTCCCCTCAGTCAGTATGAAACTGTTTTCAGGCAGAGCCAAACTGTTGTCAGTCAGAGTTAAACTTTCCACAGTCAGGGCTAAACTCAAACTGAGTTCTCTTCAGCAGTCAGTTCCCAAGTCTTTCTGCTCAACTGATGCTAAGCAATCAAATTCCTTTGAGCAGCCTGTGACTCAAGGCTCTGTGCCTCTGTGAGGCATTATCCCATCATAGTCCATTATATGTTTATGCAGCACTTACGAGCTTTTAAAGTGCAGTCCGTCACACAAGATGACTAAAGTGCAAACTGCATATTACAACTTTTTACGTTTAAGGTCTCATTTCCCCTGACCTTGACTCTGATAGTCAGACTGCAGGAGCAGCAAAAATTGTTTTTCAGGTGCACCAGTCCCCCAGTTTGCATAAGGACCACACTAGGGAGGGGGGAAATGGCTCAGTGAGGGGCTGTACATAGTCCCTCAGTACACACAGAGGATGGGGGCCAACGGGAGCTGCACATTACTAACCTGCGAAGCAGAGTGGGGGAAGTGAAAGCTTCCTGAGAGGGAAAGGGTTCCGCACCATTGCATCATAAACCAGACCAGTGGTGCTTCCACACACGGATTTTTCCCTGCAAGGAGAGAGCCCTGCATTTAGGAGTTTCTGCATATCATTGTAATCATTCTAGTCATGACTCCTGGGGCTCTGGAAGTTTCCCTATTTAAACCAGATCAAAGGAAAACCTCCTTTGATATGTTTTGAACAGGGAAATGTGGGATGGAAGCGCTGCTTGCAGCCGATCTGGGGAGGTGGGGGGGGGAGCTAGGCTCCACTTTTCCTCCTTTCTTTCAGCCACTACTGCAGCTACTACTGCTTCCACTGTGTGTGCTCCTTTTTGCACCTCTGTATGGAAGCAAACCAGGCGAAAGTATATAGTGCTAGACATAAGAACATAAAAGAACATAAGAGAAGCCAATGTTGGATCAGGCCAATGGGCCATCCAGTCCAACACTCTGTGTCACACAGTGGCCAAAAATACCAGGTGCCATCAGGAGGTCCAGCAGTGGGGCCAGGACACTAGAAGCCCTCCCACTGTTGCCCCCCCCCAAGCACCAAGAACACAGTACAACACTTGCCCCAGACTGAGAGTTCCTATCTATACGTTGTGGCTAATAGCTACTGATGGGCCTCTGCTCCATATGTTTGTCCAATTCCTTCTTGAAGCCGCCCATGCTTGTAGCCTCCACCACCTCCTGTGGCGGTGAATTCCATGTGTTAATCACTCTTTGGGTGAAGAAGTACTTTCTTTTATCTGTTCTAACCTGACTGATCAGCAATTTCATTGAGTGCCCACAAGGTCTTGTATTGTGAGAAAGGGAGAAAAGTACTTCTTTCTCTACCTGCTGTATCCCATGCATAATCTTGTATGCCTAGACCATACTTGAGAACTTTGTTTTGCCGTTAGTTGCACTGGAAGCTCTAAAAATTGCTACGAAGAAGGACTTGGGGGGGGGGGGGTGGAACAACAGGGTATGCAGTAGAACACAGTGACTGAGAGGGTTCTCTGAATTACCAAGAATAAATCAGTGAACAAATGGTCTTGGTAATGGTGAGAGACGTTAATGTGGAAGTATCTGGAATCTCCTAATGGGACCTTGGTCCTGTCATAGTGCCAAAGCCAAATTCCTCATTTTTGAACTGGGAACATTGGTAGTCTAACTCTGAGGGTAGTTACACAGAAGGACCATAAAGTCATGTGACCTCTAAAGGATCTATGGAAGTGATTATTTATAATCTAAGAGACTTCAAGAAAGATACCCTTCATCAGGCATCTGTCTTGTTCATGTGCAAATAATGTCTGTGCTGGACCCAGATCAAAGTACCCTTTCAAGCTGTGGAACTTGATTAAATCAAGTAAATTACTTTTTAATCTATAATAAGTTCCTTTCCTTGAAGTTTTGTATTCCAAAGGCTCTCCAGTTGTGGGAATGCTTGAACAATGTTACACTTGAAGATGTGGTGACTTTTGCAGGGTGGTGGAGTACCCAGAATGAAAAACAACATTACTCTTCCTTTCTCTCTTTTTAATAATGTAGGGATGGAGGTTGGTGGCAGAACAAGGGATCTACCACCCTCTGGAATCTACCACATGAAGCAGTTGCTTCAAAGGCTGAAGAGTTTGTAATTTTCTTCTTTCTGTTTTCACCAGACACGTCAAGTGCTGGAAGAATTGACTGAATTGCCTGTCATGGTGGAACTAGCCAGTGACTTCTTAGACAGAAACACTCCAGTCTTTAGAGATGATGTATGCTTTTTCATCAGCCAGTCGGGTAAGGCCTGTGTCCTCAAAGTGTGGGGCTGGTCGACCACCATGATTCTCCTATGGTGGACTGATATGAGAAGGTTGGACTGGGAACAATATAAAGTCAGCTTTTACTAGGGTAGATTGGCAGCCAGTATAACTCATAAATTTTGATTCTGGATGCTGCAGAGGAAGGTTGTGATCCAGTGGAGCTCAGGAGCACATGCCCAATTAAAATTTTCTCTTCAGGAGCTCTTAGTATGGCATACTTCTTTAACCATCCCATTGCTGTACAGACAGTGTCTTTTTAAAAAATCAGGCAATATTCGGGTGCTAATAATGATTAGAGCACATTTAGAACTTGAGACGTGCAAGCTTTCCAGGACAAAATGCATTTTTCATTCCCAGAAAAACATTGAAACCAAAGAGGAAGTGCTACATAAATGTAGTGACGCAGTGTACATTTAGTACACGAAGGGGAGAAGCAGAATTTTGGACTTTAATGTTAAACCTTAGATATTAGCTGCAAATTTAGATCCTACAGGTCCCTGTAAGTTGGTGTCTGCGTATACGTGTGTACATATAAACCTATATGCACATGCAGAGGGATCTGTCAAAATCTCTTGAGTGGCAATAGATTATGTAGAAGAGTCAGCAGCAGGAAATAATCTTCTCAGAATACAGCAATTAAAGGATTTCATATCCCAGTTATTTCTGTAGAAATTAGTTCTGGCACTCAAGGAAATACAAGATGCACTGAAGAATACACAATGGGTTTTGTCTCCTTAGTTAGCACGCCACACCTCATTTATTTCTTTCATAGGGTAGCCGTGTTTGTCTGCAGTAGAAGAGCTAGATATGAGTCCAATGGCACCTTAGAGACCAACAAAATTTTCAGGCTATGAGCTGTTAGGAGTCAGAGCTCCCTTCATCAGGTCATGGAACTGAGCAAAAACCATGTTCTTGAAAGCCTGTGAGAGCATGGCTGTTGGAATATAGAACTTTCAGGACTATAACCAGGCATCCTCCATCTGTCCTAGTAGGTGAGACCGCGGACACCTTGATGGCCCTTCGGTACTGTAAAGAAAGAGGAGTTCTCACTGTAGGAATCACAAATACTGTCGGTAGCTCCATCTCCCGGGAGACAGACTGTGGGGTGCATATCAATGCTGGGCCAGAGATTGGTGTTGCCAGCACAAAGGTGAGGAATCCTTGCATGGCCAGAAATGTTAGTCTTCTGTACCCAGGAACATCTAATTTTTGTTGTCTGAATAAATGTAGGTTTGACTGTCTTGTTAATGTACTTGGCACAATGGAATCCTGTATTTGAATGCATTGTGGGATTTATAAAACAAAAGTTTTCTCAAGAGGTTGGCCAGCATGAAAAGGTATAGAGTTCTTAGCCACCATATCTCACTGTTCAGTGACAGTGTATCTTCTGGACCTAATGATACAGTTTTCCAAAGTCAGGTCAGCAAGTGTTTGGTTTCCAAGGCACATGCAAGCCAAATTCTGATCAGGATTATGAGGAAAGGGGGCTTAGATCCGTTTGTGCTGTTTTCCTGACGCTGAGGAGCCTCCCACGTTGCCCTATGGGGAAAATGTGTGTACTGACAACATGTACTGAGGAAACTTAATGCATACTTTGTGCTTCCCCAACTGTGTAAAATAGTGACTTCCTGGGGCTGTTTCAGATTTATTTATTTATTTATTGGTTCAATTTGTACCTACACCCCCCCCCCCCCAAGTTTTTTGCAGGCTCAGGGCGGCTCACATCAGTCAAAACATAAGTTGACACATAAATAACAAAACACACATAAAAACATTTAAAACAATTCAAGTTATACAGTCAAGTTCATAAAGTGCTGGTGATGGTCAGTGAAGTATTTACGGTGGCGTATTTTAACAGTGTGCCCGGAGATCTAGCAATCCTTCTGCTCATGATCTTTTGATATACGGACAGTGTAGGCTAGATGTCAAACCCAAGGGCCAGGGCTCTGTAGTGGTGGCGGCTCCTTAGTTGACAGCCTGGTGGAAGAGCTCCGTCTTGCAGGCTCTGCGGAACTTTAAGAGATCCCACAGGGCCCTGATCTCCTCCAGGAAATCAGGAAAACGGCACAAGGGGGAGATCTAGGGCCCCTCCCTCTGTGCACCAGAGGCCTGATCTAAATTGGGGCCATGAGTGTGTTGAAGAACAAGTGACAAGTCTGTTGTCCTAACTCAGAGGCATAGCTGGGAAAATATTTTATTGTGTAGTTAGGTCCTCATTTTGCCAACTAACTGGTAAGCAGTGTTCCCTCTAAGCTGAGTTAGTGTGAGCTAGCTCAGTGTTTTAGCCTCTGGCTCACACATTTTTGTCTTAGCTCAGAAAGGATGGCTCCAGAGCAAACTAATTTCTGCAGTAGCCAAATAACTTGCTAACAACTTTAATGCCAGTAGCTCACAAAGTAGAATTTTTGCTCACAAGACTCCAGAGCTTAGAGGGAGCATTGCTGAAAGGAAAATTGGGATGAAAAAAGCAAACTTTTAATGATGTTTGATTTTTAAACCTGGGTCACCTTTATCCCAACTCAGTATAATGCCCTACACCACAACAACTGTTCCTTGTAGAAACAGTATAAAGAACATGAAAGGAAGCTAGGAGGATGAAGCTTTCCTTCCCCCCCTTGGCCCCCCCCCCCCCCCAATTTAGGTAATTTATCAGTAGTTGACATTTTGTATCAGTTTCCATATTCATTTGCCACATTTTATGGCTGTACTTCTCAAGTCCTTAATACAGCCCAGTTCATTTGTACCCAAGGAATATCAGTGTTGTTGAAACTGGGACCCTGCTGTTGCTTTATCTACCTTGCAGGAGAAAGGGCTTGTTTTGTGTCAGTAACTGGCCAGCAGTGATGTTTTGCAAATAGTTTGTATGTTGGATATTTAGGATGTTGTGGTGTGTGAATTACTTCTATTGGTCTACCTTACAGTACTATGTAAGTAGGGCTTATTTCCTTGCAGATGCTGTATGTCTGTTTTGCTGCATATGCTCATGTACAAGCTCCTGTTGTGCACGTTTGTGGAGCCATTTTCCTCCTTATCTGCACAGCTATCCCACCTCAACCAGTTCATGCTTTTGTTTTATGTTGTGTGATTTTTAGTTACATTTAAGAATTTAAGCTTAGGTAAGTACTACCTGTTAGCTGGGAAAGGAAAGATTGTTTCTCTGCCAACCAATACAAATATTAATCTGTACTGTTGGTCATGGAGCATTACTGGAAGACTGCCTGTGTTTTTCTCTGTTTCTTTGAGGAAACTTTTCCAGATATCTAAGGCAGCTATATCTGAGGGTGTGGGGTGAGATCAGGATACAGAGAATAGTCAAGGCAGCATAAGCGACATGTAAAATGCTTGGTTAAATCTGTTAAGGTACACTTTCATACAAGTGAATAGTTCTACCAACTTCGTACTTGGTATTAAATTTTATTCTGAGAACTTAACTGAAACTATCCCCTCTGTCCTGTTTTGGTTTATCTGGTTATTAGAGAAGTCTCTGGCCAGTTGTTTAGGTGATATGGAAGGTGGCCTCCTTGTCTCAGAAAGGGAGAGCATCCCCATTTCCCAACTGAGCCTTCCTCTTGAAGCTCCGTTATGCTTCCAGGAGCCCTCTAGCTTCTGACTCCTGTATGAACTACATCCAGAGAGAGATGCCACGCACAGTGGCTCCTCCTTTCTTCGTTTTCTTGTTTCCTGTACAGTTGTCTGGCTGCAGTTCCCCCCCCCCCCCCCCCGTTTCCCTGAACTCTCAATCTGGTGTCAAGCACCCTCCTAGGAGTCTTTGCCCTCCCTTCCCAGGTACTGAAGTTATTTCCTTTTCTTAAGTTTCTGAGACATATTTAACAATGTTGGCCCAGATTTTTATGCTAGGGAAAACAGCTGCTTATTGTGGAGGAACTGCCTTAATATTAAATTAGCTGCAACTATGTGAGTTCACTTGTTGGTTCAGGTGTGAAAGGGTTTCATTGCAGCTGCAGGTCCAATTTATTTCAGTCCAGGTTAGCTCTTGGAAAATATTTGTGTTACAACATACCAGGTTAAAAATATTCAGAATCCGTTTCTTAACACTATTTTCTGCTTCTCTAGAGGTTCAAGTAAACTGCCATCATTTAGATGTTGAGGCCTTTTAGTCTGAGGTAATCCCTGGAAAACTATGAGACATTATTAGGGCACATATTAGCACTTTGGAAACTGATGGGGGGTGTCAAGCAAGCAGGGACTCATCAGGGTTAAGGCAGGCAACTAGTGGCAGACTCAGTTTGGATAGCAGTCATGCATCCATTAGGGCTTTATGCAGTGAAGTTTCTGCTATGGCTGTAGGCCCTTGTGTAGCTTCTATGGAGCTATGGAGGTTAGGGAGAAACCTTGTGGTGCACAAGGCACTCTCAAGAGCACAAAGTAAACCTTCACCAGCACCGAGGCAAAGAGGGCAGAAAAGACCAGCATTGGGTGTACGCTGGTGGCCTATTGCTTATGCAAAGATCGTCATCCCCCATTTACTGCATTGGTTCAGACAGAACAAATTTAGAGTCCTGTGGCACCTTTAAGACCAACAAAAGTTTATTCAAGGTATGAGCTTTCATGTGCAAGGCACACTTTTTCAAATAGGTTTAGATGTTATTCTAAGCCATGTTTTAATGAAACTATGGCTAGTTATCAGGAATTGGCCCACAAATGACAGTCAATTCTCGCTTTGATTGACTAATGCCTGGTTTAAACTGCCATCTCTCTTTCCTCTGTCGCCCTTCTGGTGACCTGGATTGTATTTCTTTTCTTTGACAAGCCTTTATTGGCATATGTATACACATACAATAGGAGATCAGACTAAATATAGATTGGAAAATACAAATCCATATAGGGTAAAATTGAAGCTACGGCAAAGAAAAACAGCATAAAAATAGAAAAACCTAGTGGTTACTTATCAGCACGTGTAGCCATAGCACTAAGAAGAAACCTTGCTACTATTTCAGTTTTTTCCGTATCTTGATTATCAAGTAAAAACAGAACCTTAAAATCGTCAGAAATCTCTGGGAATTGAGCTAATATAGGGTACAGAAGATCCTGGCGGGGCACCAAATAAAAGGGACATTGAAGGAGAACGTCCCCACGTTTCCCCACAGTTTCAACACAGTCCTTCATACAAGGACAGGACCTGCTGGAGTAGGGGATCCCCTGGAATCTGCCAGAGAGAAGAGGAAGAACATTAAATCTGGCCAAGGAGATGGCTCTGCACAAATTGGGAGGTATAAGTTGATGAAGATATTTGCATTTGGAACAATCCCTAAATTTAGGGGAGAACAGTTTCTGTTAGCCAAACTATAGAAAGTTTGCAACTCTGAGCCCAATAAACTAGATTTTATTTTTTAAAAAGCCTCAGGCTCAGAAAGCAAGGATAGAGATTCTAAAGGTAAGTTGAAGGGAGCATACTTTGGCTTCGATGTGAGATAGCCAGCTAGAACTGGCAGATTCAGAAAGTAATTGATACGGATAACTAGAGGGGTCAGAGCTGAAGTGGGGTCGCAACCAAAATTTAATGGTGTGGATCCATGCCTTAGTAGCCATCAAATTCTGTCCGCACTCCAAACATAAAGCAGCATATGGAACACACATGGGTACCCCCCATGATCTTTCGGAAGAAGGTAGAATGGACACGTTCCACTGACGTGTCAATTGCATCTATCCAGAGGGGTACTCCATACAATAATTGAGCTCCAGTTTTAGCATTAAAAGCTTTGAGTGCAGCTGGCACATACTGGTTTCCACGGTCAGAAAAATAAAAAAAAGATTGCTGCAGCACTGACTTTAGCTACATTAACAGCCATTCTGCAGTGATGGGTCCAAGTGGCACTAGAATGAAAGTGGTGTCTCTCTTCTCTGTGCCAAGGGATGCAGTATGTCCCAATTCCTTCCCTACCCCCCCAATTATATGCTCGTCTCCAAGGAAGAGGCAACAAGGGAGCCTTGTGTTAACCTTGAATGCTGAGAAGTAGCCCTGCTGGCATTCCCTCCATCCAGCAACCAACTCCCCCCCCCCCCCTCACTTGTCTCCGCGGAGTAAGAGTAAATAGGGTGCTTGCACAAACCAGTGTGCTGGATAGTCATTGTTTCATTGATATTGCTTTTCCCCCTTGGAAATAAATTGAAGTAGCAAGCATGCTGCACTGCTGGGTCAAAGAAGACAGGGTGGAGAACATTTTTAGGTTGACTCAGAGCCAAAGTTGGGGAGGCACAGTGTGCTAGCATGGGCTGGCTCAAAGTATGAGCAGTTCCATTTCTGGGTCACTCTGGCCAGGGTACCAAAATTGTGCATTATGTTAGAGCATGGTTTAGCTAAAGTGTGGTTGTTAACCCAGCTGCACATTCTGGTGTGAGCGATCCTAACCTGCATTTGCCTGCATTTGGATGAACCAATAACTATGGTTAATTTAATTAAACCATGGGTGAGCATTACATCTTAACCTGATTCATTGTTTCACTTTAGTATCTAGCCACGTTTCCCAGGAACTTAGAGTGCCATACATGTGCATTTCCCAATTTATCTTTATAACCCTGTTGGCTCAGTTAGCAACTTGTTGCCCAGTGAGCAACTCTGGGCTGATCTGGAATTGAAGGTTAGGGCTCCATGGCCAACACTCCGTCCTCGTTATTCCACTAGCGTGTGTGCAGCACACGGAAATACTTTACTGTGTTTGTTTTGCTCTGGGACGGTATCAAGTTGTATCTTTTATTAGTGGCGGCACTTCATAATGCAACTGTATGTGTTCCTAAGCCTGCTGGAAGAGTGCCCAAACTACCAGATGTAGAACATAGCATTCTTCTCCCACTTACTGGAGTGTATAATCACTGTTTTTGATAAGGAGCTGACAATACTCAGGGAAAACTGTCTAGCCTAGGTTGATGAAAAAGGCAATTAATGGAGGTCTTGGCACAGTGACGTCTTACTTCCAAGCAGTTATTCAGAGTTTATGGAAAATAGCCCCAGCAAACATGGTGATATATGTGATCTCTGCTAGTGGTCCTCTACTAAAACTGAAATAACTCTGCTAGTCAGAATCCGCAGTAATGTTGCCCCCCCCCTCCAATCTTCTGTTCTTTCAGAGGTGAGGGACTTGTATTAGCAAAGCGTTATATGCTTGTTGACCTGTTGTCTTCTCATTGCAGACAGGTGTGGTCAAGAGAGTTGAGTATGCATTGCCAATACCAATGTGCTCCAAGTGCTCAGTTAAGGTTCCATTAGAGTCCTCCTGAGGCTTGATTTACTTTTTCTGCTACCACTGTGGGAGCTGCTTCCATGTAACATTTTCCCACACTGCTTTGGTAAGAGTGAAAATAGGACCCCTATGGGCCGATTGCATGGCTCGAGGGCATCCACTCATTTTTTCATGAGAATATGGTAGAGAAGCACATTGCTGGCCCTGCACCTTTGGCCCCTGTGTTCAAACGCTTTCGTGAGCAGAGTGGGAAGATACCTTTCCTGGTATAATTCCCCATGTCCTGAACAAAAATGAATAACCACACAACAATGCAGTTACCTGAAGGAGAAGAGTTGGATTTATACCTCGCCCTTCATTTGGAGTCTCAGAGCGGCTTACAATCTCCTTTCCTTCCTTTCCCCACAACAGACTCTCTGTGAGGTAGGTGAGGCTGAGAGAGTGCTGAGAGAACAGCTCTGAGAGAACTGTGACTGGCCCAAGGTCACCCAGCTGGCTGCATGCGGAGTAGTGGGGAATCAAACCCGGTTCTCCAGATTAGAATCTGCTGCTCTTAACTACTACACCAAACTGAGGGATTGATATCTCCTTTCACAATGGAAGAGCCACTTCCTTTTCTGATACAGTTTAGGAGAGAACAGTTTGAGGTGGGCCAGAGGCAGATAAGCTTTCAGAGCATCTTCAGTTCTTTTGTTCTAAGTGGTAGGTTTCAGATAACTCAAAATGTTTTGGAAGATTTTGTCAAATGGCCACAGTGATGCTTCTTTTCCCTAGGCCTACACGAGCCAATTTGTTTCACTAGTAATGTTCGCTCTCATGATGTGCGATGATAGAATTTCTGTGCAAGAAAGACGGAAAGAAATAATGCGAGGCCTCAAGTTATTGCCAGGTATGTACAAATGTCCCGCTGTGAGATGAGAAAGGGTGACCCTTTTGAAGCAAGACAAATGTGGACTTCTGTTCTTAACCGTATTTTGCTTGTTGATATCAGAAGACATGGGAGGGAATTAGAGTTAAGTTCTGGACAATCGTGACTTCATAGCTTAGTTGCTACTGTTATGGAAGAGCAAATAGCTTGTAGAATAACATGGGCATATCTGTTTGAAGTGGGAAGTAAGATCCCCAAGGTACATCCCAGGAAGAGGGCTGACACTTTTATTCTGATGGATGAGCTGGGAAGTAGCAGTATCACAGGCCAAATTTGCCATTTGGTCCAGTTTGTCAATTGCCCTAATAAATTATTCCTGGCCTTCTCTCACCATTGTATGTGGCACTGAGTTGCATGCAGATGCATTATGAAAACTCCTTTAAATCTGTACGTTTGAACTGATTGGACAACAGGTGTCATGAAGGGAGTTTTTGGACTTGTACCCCAAGTTCTAATTGGCTCAGAAAAGGAACTCCCAAACTAAAGAGCAGCCTGGGGTACAGCTTTGTGTCAGGGCTTGGGTATCAGGAGGCAAGCATCTGCTGCTGCATGTTGGGACAGATAGGAGGTATCCAATGTATGTCTCGGACCTGTTCTTTCAGGCAGAGATTAGCAGAGAGAGAGAGAGCAACTGCCTTTTCTGTTGTTTCACTAGTATTCTGCCTTAATTCTCTCTGCTTGTAGCTTGTTCCCAAATAACTGTGCTTTCCTAGAATATATGGATTTATTGGGATTTGGATCTCTTGGGATGATCTCAGGCCTGCTGCGCTTACCAGGCAATAAGTGTTGAAAGGACAGCTCTGACAGAGAAGGGGGTGGGGAAGTGAGGCTGAAACCCCTGCCCCCCCAAAAAATGCATTTTACCAGCTGATCGGCAGCCTGGGGGGGGGGGGTTCAAAATACGTCCTGTGCCGGTGGCAAGTAGACCTGAGAGAAAGGGGAAAGGTTTTGTTTTGGCACTGGGATGTGCATTCCAAAAAAGTTTGCTTTAATTTACCTTGATGTTCCGAAAGGGCATGATTACTATTCTTTCAAAATTCCAGAAGTAATAGTATTGTTTCTGAAGTTTGTTTTGGGGAAATTTTGGGGTGGGTTTTTTTAGTTTTTTTTTAGAATGTTGGGTATCAGTAGGCCTGATCTTGGCCTGGAGGCCTGGAGGCCATTGAAAACACTCCTAATAACCCCCCTTCAACCCCCAGTTTTGGGCAGAGTACCTTGCTTCCTTTTGGGTATTTCTGAAATGAAATGGAATTTGGGGCACTACCTTGAACTGGAAATATCCAGATGCATGCCACTGTAGGGCACTTGGGAATCCTGCATGGAACTGAGCCTTGTAGGGGGAGTGAGTGGCTAGGAAAGCAAAAAGCTGGGTGATCCCATCATAGTAGCCTCAAAGGCATCGTGTTGGCCACCTTGGTTTCTTGACCACAGCAGTCTGTAGCTTAGTGTAGGAAAGAGAGCAAAACATTTATAAGCCACAGTAAACACTGCTTATCTTTGGTTCCTAATCATTCTTCTGAGGACGAGGTAGGTATAATGTGGTGGGAAATGCTGTCAATTTACGGCAACCCCACAAGGCTTTCAAGGCAAGAAATGTCCAGAGGTGGTTTGCCACTGCCAGCCTCTGAGTACCAACCCTGGGCTTCCTTGGTGGTCTCCCATCCAAATACTAACCAGGGACGATCCTGTTTAACTTCCGAGATCTGGCAAGATCAGGCTAGCCTGGGCCCTCCAGGTCAGGGCCGGTATAATATATACCACCATAAACGCCACAGCATTGGCATTCAGACTTGAATTGGGCAATTCAGGAAAGCAGCCTCCTGTCTTAATATTTAGTACTGACGAAAGGTCCTCTGAGGCATCTGATTATGATCAGACTCTGAAGCCACACGTTGACGTGCAGCTTGTATTATGGTTTTAAACACAGTAAACAGTTCTGTTTTCATGTACAAAAAACAAATCTTCCCAAACTCCTGTAACTGATGCAATGAGTAAGTAGTACTCTGTGTGTGTAATTGTATCTATCCTTTGTATATTGTTTGCCTTTTGCTCCTCACAATAGACTTGATTAAAGAAGTGCTGAGCATGGATGACGAGATCCAGAAACTGGCCACAGAGCTTTACCACCAGAAGTCTGTCCTCATTATGGGTCGTGGCTATCACTATGCAACATGCCTAGAAGGTGCTCTGGTAAGGAGCCTCCTTTTTCTTTTGTGGACTGAAGGGGTTAACCAGGGCAACAGTTCCAAGTGCAAAATGGAGAAGGGCAGAGCAAAATGGTGAGCCACTTTGGGTCTCTAATGGGGAGAAAAGCAGGGTATAAATAAATAAAATTGAGATTGGACAAGAAAACAGAGGGAGAGAGAGCGCACAGACTTTAGAAGCATGTTTCTGGATCTTTGTGCTTGACAGTCCTCCAACAGGCATGCAGCCTCTCAAAAGTTTATGGAGTCCCTTGTAGATGGCTAATGGGCTGCTTTTGACTCAGTGACTCAGAAGCTATACAGGCAACCATTAGAAATCTATCTTAGCCCCCTCTGCCTCTGCAAATCCATCTTGGGAGGAATACAAAGCCTATCATGATGATATTTTGTAGACCAAAAAGCATGATTCTTGTTTTGCTACTTCATCATAGCCGCCATTGTGGAGCACTTGGAAAACCTAGAACAGAAGAGAGAATCTTTCTGAGGTAAGGAGCAGGGACTCATGCACTGCTGCTCTTTCCTAGAAAATCAAAGAGATCACATATATGCATTCAGAAGGTATTCTGGCTGGTGAGCTGAAGCATGGACCTCTTGCGCTGGTTGACAAGCTGATGCCTGTCATCATGATCATCATGCGGGACAACACATACGCCAAGTGCCAGAATGCTTTGCAGCAAGTTATGGCTCGACAGGTGAGTGCAGATGACCAATATTACTTCTTCACCGAAAGAGTGATTAACACATGGAATTCACTGCCACATGTGGTGGTGGCAGCTACAAGCATGGACAGCTTCAAGAGGGAATTAGATAAGCATATGGAGCAGAGGTCCATCAGTGGCTATTAGCCACAAGGTATAGATAGGGACTCTGGGGCAAGGGATGCTTCTTGGTGTTTGGGTGGGGGGGGGGAACAGTTGGAGGGCAAGTGTGTTCTTCCTCAGGTGTAAAGTATAAGATAGGGAAAACTAAAAATATAATTACAGTCGATAGTTTAAAAGAGGCATCCATTCCTTCCTCCCATCCGTACTTGATTTAGGGATTGTCTACAGTTCTGTTTTACATTTTGCTTTAATTCTGGTAGGCATTATTATTATTTTTAGATTGCTGGGAAACAGAATTAATGCCAAATGTTCAGTTACCTGGTCAGTTCAGGACAAGAATGGGCAAGCTGAAGACACAAATGCATCCCATGTTTCTGTGCAGCCTGCATTTCCTATTAGAATCTTAACTTCCGTGTATCTGTTTCTTGGGACCAAGCTCGACATAATAGAGGCAGCTGCCTCAGTGGTGGTTTGCATTTCTGTCAGAATGGAGTGGGAGGGGGGGAAGCCTGTTCAAGGGAGTTGTTTCTTTCCTGTCCCCCCACCTTACTGTGAGTGCTTGGTTGCCTCATGTACTTTAACTTCTGAGACAGGTTGGGAACAAGCTGGGCTGTGGGGATAGACTGAAATGAAAGAGAGGTGTGTGTGTGTGTGTGTGTGTGTGTGAACTTTATCTACATTCCTCTGTTATAAAAATTAGACCCCCTCCTTCCTATGTCAGAAGGTAGATACGTGAGTAAACAAACATAACTGTCCCCCCTCCCAACCTTGGATGACTGCTTTACCCTTAGTGTTCATGTTGGGTAGGTAGGTAATAAAAATGCAAATGCTGAAACTACTAAATGCCTGCTGTGCAACATGTGAGATTCAGAAAGAAAGAGCTGGGATTCCCTTGGGGTTCTAGTGGATTCTAGAATGGCTGCAGTTCTTGTGCCCCTGATTTCAGGGTTTCAGATTAATCGCAAGCAATTTGTGTTTGGCTCTTGTGGCTTAAAGTGAAATAGAATACATTGTGCCTTGACGTTTTCAAACAAGAAATTAAAATAAAATGACCCAAGGGAATGGTCGTAAATCCTGAAGAGTGTCTTGTCAATCAGGTGCACTCTTCTGTTTGTGGTAACAAAATGAACCGTACCTGGATGAAATAGGAAAACATTCCTTTGCTGAGGATCACCCAGTGTTACTTGGATGCAGCAAAGGGGCACAGGGTTTGGAAGTCAAGCAGTTTAACTGGTGTCCTGTCTTACTGTGACAGTATCATTTGTGCCTTGAGCTTCAATGAAAAGGGGGATGCTGGTTAGCTCACCAAATTTCAGCAGGCAGAAATATGACTCTTTCCCCCAAGGAGAATACGATTTCTTTGCAACTTATTTCTTGATGCTTTGGCTTCTTCCAGGGGCGACCTGTTGTAATTTGTGACAAGGAAGATATTGAGACCATCAAAAACAATAAGCGAACAATCAAAGTCCCTCACACTGTGGACTGCCTCCAGGGGATCCTGAGTGTTATCCCTTTACAGCTTCTGGCATTCCACCTTGCAGTCCTCAGGGGCTATGATGTAAGTAGTCTGCATTCACAATATCTGTAGCTCACCCCGTTCTTTCCTCTTCACACTAGTTCCATGAGGTTGGTCACTCTTATTGCTTCCTTGGCAAGCGTTAATGGAGGACTGGAACTCAAGTCTGACTTCTGATTTTCTGGGTCCAAGAGAGATCCATCCATTGGGCTAACATAGATCCTTTGTCCTGAGGAGGACATTAGTTTACTGCGCTTTATTCTTAAATCTGTCTCTGCAACATTCAACAGATCAGGCTTTCTGCACCTCCTTAGAGGGCTGGGCACCTCCATTAGCAGTACCTTAAAAACAAAGCTAATTTGCATGGCAGGACTACACAGTGAAGCATGCTGGCATTTTGAGTATTCAAAATGAGGAGAAACGCACCACGTCAGTCAGTCTAGAGTGTTGCTTCAGGGGCAACCTTGTTTGGAAATGGGAGAGGGTGTGGGAGAGAGTAGCTGCCTTATGATGCTGAGTCTTTTATGAAAGATGGACCTGGCAAGACTTCGGATCAAGATCAGTCCTTGCTGAAAACAAGAGACTGTAGAGCCCTACCCACTTGTATTGGTGATGGGAGCTGGGGGGGGGGAAGGCCATAGTCATATAATGCACACAAAGTCATATAATGCATTTAACTCACCCCTCTGTTGTCATAAAGAAGAGGAGAGAACTGCATTTCACAAGCTTCTTAAGCCTGCAGTTCTTCATTGTAATCCTCTTTACGCCCATCAACTTCAGTGGGACAAAGGTGGTTTAAGTACTGATTTTAGTGGCTTGTGAATCAAGCTGGCTGTGAGACGGCAGCCCCTGTGTTTAATATATACTGTGAAGTATAAATACATGAAGTGCTAAAACAGTCCAGTGCTCTTTATTTACTTGGGAGTTTTATGTTGTTTTTCTTTTCCAGGTTGACTTTCCAAGAAATCTTGCAAAATCAGTCACAGTTGAGTAGAATACCTCTCACTCATCAAGGATTTTGGCAGAGGTCAGCGAGAGAGACTCTTTTTTTCCTTTTTGGTTCCAAAGGACATTGATTTTAAAAGACCCCTTGATCAGATCTTGTTCCCTTTGTACGATAATCTTTAATTCTGTTGCATTTGTGACAGTTAAGAGTTGAATCTGTAGCTATGCCAATAGCACCATTGAGTGATAATTTCAAAGTAGTTTTCTCTTTAGAAAAGATAAAAGCTTGGTAAAATTGTTCAGGCCTCCCTAGTGAGAGAGAACTGCATCACTATAGTACTTTCAGACTGCTAAGATCTTTTGAAGAAGGAAGTTGGTAAAGAAGTAGCTCTAGAACTCTCAGGTGCAGATGTTGAGACTCTCACACGCTCTGCTCACTGGCACCATGTGGGACTGATTTGAAGGGCCTCTCATGGTTATGGACTCCTGCGCTCCCGAGCTTCCAACAATAAAGATCTGTGCAGCTTGCCGAGAGAAGCACAGTGGCATTGATTCCTCACAAATGGATGCTTTCAGTCAGCCTGGTTCTACTTGGATCCCCAGTACATTGACAGCAAATAAAACCAACTGTAGTAGACCGAAGTACTCCAAGCCCTCAAGGAGGGAGCTTTGCCTGGGTGTGCCTACAAAGTCTTGGTGGAGGGCTTATTCCTGTGTTCATTTTTGATGTGGCAAAGTCACCATAAGGTGCTTGCTGTAGTCATTGTGAGATGGGGAGATGAAACCAGTATATGCCTCTCCAGAGTGAGCTTTTAGGGAGCTTCTTTCGCAACAACGGCATTATGTGCATTCAGAAGAAATATTCTTAGTGCAGTAATTTTTGCTGCATGTTCAGGTAACCCTGGAATTTTGCCAGATGTACTTATTAGAGGAAGAAAGGGCTCAGGGGGATCTGAGCTTCAGCTGATGTGCAAGGACAGTTGGTGGGGGAGTTTGCTGGGCAGTGCAGAAGGAATCTGCCATGTTCTGAGTCTTGCAACGCAGTGTCGCCTTGTTCTTCTGTCATGGCAGGCTGTTGAGCAAGCTGTGTGTTGGTCCACACAAAAGAAACATGGTATCGGTAGTGAAATTGTCCCAAATGTTTTGTATCTACACTGCCTATCCTGTACAGCTCTCTGCTAAACTATCATACCTCCTTAAATCTATAAATGTATTGCAGTGATGGATTCCAAGAGTCAAACACACACTCGTTGATCAATTTGTGTCAGCAGTGACTTAAGTCAGGCTGTTGTTTTCCACCATCTGTGAAGAGGGAAGGGGTGTTCACAAGGTAGGTGATGAAACTAGTGCCCCTTGCAAAAATTCCCCATCTCTTTTTTGATGGATTGTGTTCGCCAGTTGTAAGGAAGAAGACACTGCATCCCTATTTTTCCATGCAATAGGATTGGACTGTGTTGTCCTGCTGCTTTCAGCAAGTGTTACCAGGCAAGTAGGCTCACAGAGAGCACCAAGTAATCCTATGTTCCCTACACCATCAGATCGATTGAGACTCTGTAATGTCTGGGGGGAGAAATCCCTTTCAGTACCCCCCCCCATTAGCTTGTAGGAGAGGCGCTCAGCAGTTAATGTTTAATGTGAATAATAATTTAACCGTAAAAGTTTCTGGTGTGCTGCTATGTATAGAGTTTTTTTCTCTGTAAGACGAAAAGGGTCTGCAAAGTTTGATTGATGTTGGACATCCAACCGGTCAAAGAATGGGAGGTGTAGGGTGTGTCGTTCATTCACTTTTCCAAGCGTGAGAAAACACTTAGACTTCAGAAACTGCTAATCCAGTCAGTGGGGAGCAAGTTAGTATTGCCTCTGAAAGAGAACATAGGCACACATTCTTCTAGTTACTGCTGATATCTGTAAAGTAACTAAGAGGGGTTAAAGATATTTAAGTATATGCCATAGTGTGCTACAGGATAAAGAGAGAAATGCAATATAATAGGAGGACCAAAGACGACCTGTAGAAAAGAGAGAGCTGCAGCAGGGCTGTCCAGTTCTGAAACTCGTTAAGAATTATGCAAATATGACCAGCCTAGGTTCTTTAGAGGACCAGTCTATGCCTTCCTTAGCACCTGAACGGTGTCATCTGTGACCTGATGCATGTTGTCTCTCCAGTAGGTAGGGAAACCTTGTAAGATTAAGTGTCAAAACACTGGTGAGGTCAAGTAGAAGAGGAAGGTTGTGAACACCATCCCTTTGGTCTTCTGCTTTCCCTGTTGGAGCTGAAGGGTGGAGGAAGTGCAAGCTGTCCAGAAATGAGACAAAAAACTTTGCCAAATAAGAAATAATGCTCCTGAAGCCTCCTTGTCAGGACAATTATGTGGGTCCTTTTTCACCACTTTGTACAGTGATGGGGAACAAAGCTATTATGTCTCCTGCACTGTCCATTAATGAGAATCTATCAAATAAATAAATAATAAGGAAGACAGGATGGGGTCCATGTTATGTCTTTGTGGACATTTAAACAACCATCATGAATTCTCATGTTCAGTGTACATTATATTTGCCAGAAGTGACTTTGCCTGCCATTCAGTTAAATATTAAAAACACAGTTGAGTGCTGGATAACCATATGTAGTTTTCAGATTGTCAAGTCATATTGCAAATATCTGGCATCTAAAGTCAGTGCTGGAATTCTTTCCTTCTGGATAGTCATTTGAGACACAGCTGAACTTCCAGTAGGACAGCCTAGGTTTTTGACATCAAGGGGTGTGAATAGTGCTATCTTCTTAAAAATAATTGAAGGCCCTTCTAAGATGGGATGTACAACTAAACTACCATCTTGGAGAAGCCCTGCTGCAAACGACCCCAATGGGAGAGGCTTCTTTCTGGATGTATGTCAAAGGCATCACTCCATTTCTGTTTTATATTAGAGAAACCTCGGTTCAAGATGGGCAGTTCCAGACCTCATAGGGACAAACATGGTTCAGTAGGTGACATTTTATGTAGCTGGAAGTGATGTTAGAGGAAAAACTCTGAGAAAATGCAGGCTGCCAAATCTTCCCTGGCATCACTTTTCCATGCGAGGTTCCCCTCTTGTTTTGTACACTGCAAGCACAGGAGTTAGGAAGTCTGTGAAACAGGGTGAATTCAAGGAACTCAACAATTTACCAAAGCTTGGACATTAGTGCATTTGTTGTGGCAATGACCGAACCCTTTGTTAGATACCAGTGGTCTCATGTTTTCCTCCTGATGAATACAGCTGACATACTAGCCCCCCAGATGAGTACAACTGACATACTAGCCCTTATCTGAAGATGTTGAATAAAGGTGGTGTAAAACTAGAGCAAGTTGGCAAATGTAAGGTGTTTTTATTTTTTCTTTATCTGCTTGTTCTCCTTCTGAAAAACACAACTTATCTGGGTTTGTGGGACCATTCTGTATTTGTTTTGTGCTGTTTACTCCACACGGTTTTAACTTTGTCGGTAGATGTCTGTTGATTATATTTTTGTTTCTTGGCTTACCTTTTTTTGTATCTTGCCCTTTGAATAAAGACATGTCCAGCCTAACCATGACTTTGGCCTAAACATCTTGCATCTTTAATGTTCCTCCTAGAACAGGAATTGCCAACAAGGTACTTGGAAGCTGCAGGCTAACTTGTGAATTAGAACAGCAAACATTGTTTAGCTACTTGTATCCTGTTAGTTGCTCCTGTGCACAAGTAGGCATGTGTGAGAACTGAGGGAATGAAACTGCACATCCTGCTGATCTGAATTCTGTGCTGACCGATAACCACTGTTCTTCGAGCTGCTGTGTTTAGTCTGTCAGTTACTTTCTGGATATACAAATGTCTAAAGAATATTGCTTGTAGAAAGATTTTGCTTCTCAGCTGTTTCCTCCCTTTTCTGTTGAACAGTCTTTAGCGTTGGTTTCAAGAGTTGGTAATCCTGTATATATGAATTTAAACCCCTAGTAGGATTCATTTTCAAACTATACTTCTGCAGCAGGAGGTCTCCACATGGGGGAAAAACAACTTCATGCCCACTAGGGTGAATGGAGCCCAGTGCCAGGCAATAAACTGGAATCAGGAGTTGCTGTCAGAGAACAGGCAGGCTTGTTCAAATCCCAGTGCTTACCTACTGGTTCTTTACCTTCATTCTCCCCCTACCGCTGTATGTCACATTGCTGCAACAGTAACAGAAGCTGTAGCTGTAGAATTGCCCCCATTCTAGGGTTACACTAGGGCTCTCCTGTGGACATATTAAGCCTGTGGACATTTTGGGAATTTTGAGATATGGTAATAGACACCACCACTAAATGGCTGCTATGGGGTCAGGACCAATTACAGAATTTTGAGAGATTCCAAAATCAGTGACATCTTGTGAAGAAGGCAACAGCTTATAAATGGCAAAAATTATGTCTTCTGGACTCTTTGTCTCTTTTGTGCAGAGGTGCTTCCGGAAAGCTAGAAATAGCTCTTTGCTTTGGGGGAAGCAGTGCTGTTTGGTTTTCAGCTTCCAAAGAAAGGGTAACTCTCCATGTGTAGCCACGAGAGGTCGCCATGGCCAGAAGCATAAGAAAATGTGTGACCAAACTGAGGCCAAGTGACTGCTGATGGCTTGTAAGGAGTTTCAGGTGGGTAGCCCCGTTAATCTGTAGAACAAAATTCAAGGCCAGTAGCACCTGAAAGACCAACAAAATTTTCCAGGATACAAGCTTTCATGAGTCAGCATTCACTTCATCAGTGAATTTTGACTTTTTAAAGTTTACACCCTGGAAATTGTGTTGGTTTTTAAGGTACTACTGGACTTGAATTTGGTTAGGACTGTGAGCTCCCTGAGTTTTTTTCCTGTTCATGCCTTTGGGTTTTACCCAGAGGCCTCAAGAAGGCAAGGGACTATGTTGGAGACTGCTTGTCTAAATGAGCAACACAAAGCCTCCTTGGCTCCCTCCCTCATATCTCCAGTTCCTTCTTGCTAGCAGTGCATCTCACCTTTTGACTCCAGGCCTGAATTGCCATTTTGCCCTGTTCTACTGTCCACCTTGAGTCTCTGAGAAATGTCCTCATCTTTAAAATGATCAGATACCTTTCTCTGAATAGCTTACCTCCTTTGCCCTTTTCCAGGAGATTTCTTTTCCTTTGACCTTTCCTTCACACGCCTTTGTTAATCCATTACCTTCAACCTCTTTGCTTCTGTACAATCCTGTACTTCTTTCCAGTCCTAAATTTGTCCCATGTGTGTGGCTGATTCCAACCAAACTGACAATTTCCCCTTCCCTCACAGAAATGATTCTGCAAACTGTTTCTTGAATCACTAAGCAATAAAAAAACATATCAAACCCATTTACTGTTAAGAGTTCACCTCAGCATTGGTGTTGCATAGCTTCCCATTCCCTATTTTGCAAATAAAATATTCAGAAACAGAGTTCAAAGTAGGTATTTAATAAATCAAAACTGTTAAAGAGTAATGACTATATCTAAAAATGACACATGCAAACAAGTCAATTGCACAGAATAACAATCTTCTGCTGCCTGAATAATCAGTTACTCATCTTCTGTCCCAGAGGTAGCCAAATCTACCAGAGAAAAGCTTTCTTTCCTTACTTGCATCTTCTCCATCTGGTGCTACATTCCCATCTCCTCTTCTTTGCAGAGACCAACAAGAATTCCAGGTCAGCCAGTCACTCTAAAATGCGACATGTGGTTGACCACTGTTTCTTAGAGCTGCTAGGACTAAGAAGTTTGAGCCAAGTGGCCCGCCATAACTGTTTCAAGAATTGCTCAACTTTTGTGATATCTGGGCCTATGAAGTCATAACACACAAAACCTAAACAAAACAAAAAATACACCCCCCCAAATTTTTTTGGGAAAAGAGGCAGCACCCTTTACACTCACTGCTTTTCTTTTTGGTCTATAAAGGAACTCGATTAGAAATTGCGAGTTTTGGAATATTTGCAATAATGGGCTCTTAGAGTTTTATAGTAAGAGAAGATACATATATACAGTCCTATATGTCTGTATATAGTATGCCAGCCAGTTCAACCTCACTTTTACTTAAACATTAATTGTCTCAAAGATCTGTTAGCATTTAAGACTATGGGCCCCATCCAGCCAAAGTTAAGCACATTTAAGCCTTGTTGGCTTTTCTCTCTCAGGCACCAAAACATCTTGGGCTTGCCTCTGGTTCAGTAAAACTGGACAGAAGCTCTTCTTTAAACCTGCATTTCTATATACTCTCAACCCTGTAAGACTGTTTCTGGCATTTTGCCATCTGTAGGCCTTCCTGTGGTCTCCCTGGGATGGGTGCAGCCTCACCCCCCCCCCCCCACTTAGCATCAACAGGGCTGTAGCATCAGGTGCTTCGATATTTAACCCCAAACATTCTCACTGAACTGATGTGTGATCAGAGCTGTTAGGAAGGGCTTTATAGCCAACAGAATTCTAGTACCTACAGCTGAAGGGCACTGACCTCTTAAGAAGCACATATCATTGGCCAACCAAGCCAATTACATTACTAGCATGTTACCTAATGTCAGACTGCTTCAGAGTTCCATAAAATACTGGTCCTCAGATCTAGGGACCTTGAGCTTTGAAACCTGATGATGGTATTGTTCTGAAAGGGTTGGTCTGGCTGTAAGTAAGGTCTCTTTCAGCCAGCCTATTGTGGGGGGAATTTTCAGGAACTGGTTATAAAAATCCTCCTGCCCCCCCCCCCGTTATTTCAGACATAACCATTTTAGTAACTGACTCAAACTGCTTTCTTCCAATCTTCAGTCCATCCTACTGCTGAAGTGCTATGGGGTTCTGTGTAAAATGCCCTGTAGTGCTTCCTGCAATGATGGGGTTTTTGTGCCCTTTTTCTCTCTGCTCATGATTGTCCTTATTTTTTTTAATGTTCTATTGGGAATGCTATAGCGCTGAAGCAGGACCACAAATCAGCGCTATAGCAACCCCATTGAGATGCCTGGACTCTATTTAGATACACTGACATTCGCTACTGCTGTCACCTAGAAACAAGTAGCTGATTGGACAGCGTGTTTAGGCGAGAGATCGGGTATAAGTGAATGGTGAGACAGGTTCAATTTTTAAAAAGTTTCCTGTAGAGGAAGTGTAGACTCAGGCTCACACACTCCATGGTTTGTGGGGGTTAAGGAACAAAGGAAAGCTTCCTGGGTTTAAAAATTGTCCGGTTCCCCGCTCCCCGCGCTTGAACTTTGCATCCAGTGAGCTCCTTGTTTCCAAGTGACAGCAGTAGCAAATGTCAGTGTATCTAAATGGAGTCCAGACATATCAATGGGGTCGCCATGGCACTGATTTGTTGTCCTGCTTCAGCGCCATAGCGCTCCCAATAGAATGTTTTTTAAAAACCTCTCAGGAAGATTGTGGCGGGAGGGGGGAAATGGCGGGAAAAGAAAGCAGCTCAGTTTGAAATGACACTCTGCTTCAGAGACAGCTCCTTACTGTAAGGGAAATGCTGTGTGAAACAGCTGTCCCTGTACCGGTTTAATCTATGATGGGACAGTAACGGAAACCATTCGGTTTAGAAAGGTAGTGTGAAATGGATCTAAGTGTTCCCTGGATGGGCATCTTCACTTCTAAATTCCCTTAAAACATCCTTTCTCACGTGTGAATTTTAAGGCACAATCCCTACCAGGGCCAGCCTGAAATGGGTTGATGCCTGCAGTAGAAAATCAAAACAGCACCTCTTCCCGTATATATATATACACACACACACAATCCACCAGGAAGATCTTGTCCTACCAGAAGGGAATGGGAGCCTCATAGCTGAACTGTGAAGCTCTTGCAGCAGGACTTGGGCAGGATACTTTTCTGGTGGATTGTGTCCCTTGGCATCATGTGGTATCTGCCATCTTTAATTACGCCAAATCGTGCCAGCCTCATGTTACCACATGTCGCCAAGATGAGTTTATGCAATTGTAGTGCTTGGTGGATAGGGCCCACTGAACTAATTGTCCCTTCATTTAAACAGGCCCATGCTGTTTAGAGCCTCTCAATAGCTCAAGTGGAAGTCATCACCAAGAGTCCTTGTGAGTTCAATTAATGGTCTGTAAAGGAGGTGCTCGTCAATAACAGGAAATATTTATACATTAATAAAAGCAATAAAACCATGAAGAATAAAAATTTTAAAAAAACAAGCACAGCTTGATACAATAACATGCCATGAAATATCACTGGCTTTATAATAATTTACTACAACTTGAAAAAGGAGATCTTTTATCCACACAGGATAGGAAATGCTTCCACTTAAAATATGGCAAGCATGCAATAATATATACACCACATATTTGGAATTTTGCTCTTAAGTCATGTGCAGAGAATTTTAGTGTACTTAAAAAGTAATCCCTTGGCCTGATGTACAGTTTTTAGTTCCCCCTCCCTTTCCCCTACCCTCATATCTTAAATTTTAGAATTCAGAAATGGGAAAACAAAATTCCTTTGAATAAAAACAGAGGCAGTAAAATACATTTTTTCCTGTGAATTTGTTCTGTTCATTTAATATTAAAAAGGTATCATCTTGACATTTTTTTAAATTAAAAAAAGCATTTTTGTTCCAAACTTCTGAGCAACTTCAGGGATCTGTTAGTAAAACTTCATCCCAAACGCCTTCATTACACTAGTCCCGTCTATTTTACACTTTCTGGGCAAAACCCATCAGGAAATTCTCCTGCTCAAGCCCTGCTGCAATAACCAGGAACTGCACTGCATGTACAGGTGTTTACACAGGAGACCTGGGTGGGTTGGGCTCTTCACTTTGAACCATGATGTCCATTCCCTGTTAACTGGCATCCAGCCAAATCTTTTTGTCAGAGCTTCCCTGACAGTTGCAAAGTAGTCTTTTGTGACTGACCTGACTGCAGCCTGTAAACCAAAAACAGTGGATCTCTCTGGAGAGGTCTGCAACAAGGGCAACATCTGGGTGGTGTCTTTGCTCTTTCAAGAGGCTGCTTTGTACTGCCAGCAGATAAAGCAGCTGTTGGGGTAGGGTAAATGGCAGTTGAGATCCATGCTGGTTTAGTCTTTTCAACACTTCTTAAAATCAAGGAATAAAAATGTTTTCCCAAAGGCATCTATTAACAAATATCTCCATAAAAAGGTGAGAATCCTTTCCTGGGGGCCTGGTCAGCTTGGCTTTGATTTCTGGGTTCTCTCCTTTGAAAGACATGGTATGATGAGCACAGCTACTACCACCATCAGGATTTATACTTTAAGTTACTGTAGGAATCAAAAGGATCTTATGAGGATGAGCATAGGTTGGTGAGGCACATGACTACAACACACTAGGAAATGAGGTAAGAACACGAGAACTGCCCTCTTGGGTAAAGTCTAGGACCTTCGATGGCAGACGAACAGCTGTCTCTCTGAAGACCAAAAATGGCTGCAAGCATGGCAGCTGTCCTGTTGTTTGCTCCTGGTATCCAGAGGTCTACCTCAATATAGCAGTTCTATATTGCCATTCTGGGGCTCAGCCACTGATGGACTCTGTGAACGTGTCTAATTCTTGTTAAGAAGCATCTGCCCTTGAGAAGCAGTCTACACTCCACCCACAGCATAGATGCCGAAGCTCCATTACTGGGAGAGTCAACACTGGAAACTGGAAACATGAGTCACTTGCTTGCCTGTGCTTTTCTGCAGCTGGTACACTTCCTGGTGTCTCAGAGCACTCAAGTGACCTACTTACCAAGGCAAGAACTCATAGCACCTTACAGCCACAACCACCTACAACCTGCTGACCTGTTCACAGAAGTACCCTCTGAGTCGTGCTCCACTTTAGGCATTGCTTGGAACTTCTGTACCAGAAGAGAATGAAAACTTGGGGCCTGAGCCAGCCAAAATGAAACACATCTCGTCACGTTGTTGGAATGTGGTTCAGAATGTGAAAGTTGAAATTAATGGAATTTGGAAGCAATTCACATTGGCTGGATCAGGTCCTCTGCCTTAAAAAAAAAAAAACCTCGGTCAGCCCAGTATTGTATAATGTTTTAAGCTATTCTATGAAAAGGCATTAAATTACACCTCTAACTACTGAGGTGGTTTGAAAGAAGACTTAAAAATGCAGGATACCTGCTTTCCTTTAGTACAACTGGTCCTAAAAGTCACACCAGGGACTTGGAAGTACGGCCAGAAATAATTCAACTGTCTTAATAGAATTCTAACATAGGTGTTACAGAAGTGTGTTTTCAGATGTTTGTGCAGAACCATGCTTGGTAATCAGGCTTAGATCCCATAAATAAAGAGCAATGGGTGAAATGCAACCTGTGCATCTCTTGGGATATTGAGAGTACTTTTTGTCTTGCCCACACATAGCAAAATTGAGTGACATAGCTGAGAGCAGGCATTAACTAACTTTTGCCCTTTTGCGTGCATGGCTATGAAGATTCCACACACACACACCCATTATTGGGGGGTTGTTCATGTGATTCTGTTTGCACATATGCACACTTCCTGGCTGAGGTTACCAAGTCCTACATACCTGCTACATGACAGATTCAGAGTTTGGCAGACTACTACAAAAGTAATCTTATGAGCTCTTCCAAGCTGCACAAATCTTGATTCATATGCGACATAATGGAGCTGATATGCATGATCATTTTGAGAAGACACCAGACATTCGATGCCTCTTCAAATTATTCCTTTGCCAGGAAAGGGAAGCAGAAACCAAGACAGCACTGGATCACGGTGAGACCAGATTCCCATGTCCATATAGGAGCTGATGTATGCTGCTTGTTTCAAATGATGTGCTAATATACTGAGCTGAGTGGTCCAACAACACTGCCTGTCCTTAAGTTAGCACTTCTATTTGTGATTCATCTTCCCATTACTCCAATTCTTAACACTCACTCTCTTTTACCCTTGCAATTCTGTCTGAATGCACATTTTATAGCGCAACTCAACATGAACCAGAATCTATTCATTCTCAATCTAGACACATACTGCGCCATTCACGAGATCAGTAGGTGCGAATATACTGGAAAAGTATTTTGGTGACATCAACATACAATGATTGTAAGGCTGTTTGCGCAGAACTACTGAAGGCATTTTAAGATGTCAAGCCAAACCTGCCACAGTCCACCCTCTGCCCACATGTATACAGTGCACCTTAGGATTATCCTTCTATTCCATCCTCCCCCCTCATTGGACAGTGTTGTTTCCCAGGCCAGCTAAAAGTCATATGGATTCCTGAGCTTCATGCAACTGCCACATATTTTAAGAGCTTCTCTAAAAGTATATTGGGAGTTCTATTAGGCCTACTCAAAGTTCAGTGATTGTAGTTTTATGCTCTTGGGTAACTTCAGGTGTTCAGGAAATGTTTTCAGAAAATTTCATTGACTGTTGTGTGGGCAGGGCCATCATACCCTTGGGTACCAAGTGAGGCCACTCAACAAGATGCTTTGTCCCTCCCATGCGCATCAACAGTCTTCTGCCTCCTTTGGTCTTCTAGCACCTGAGAATATTGTGAAGAATGGCTTTTGATTCACGTTCTTCAAAAGGATGAAGCACCAAAAATCTCCCATTGTAGCGATCCTTTCCTTCCTCTTCCTTCAAATCAATCAACATTTCATTGCGGTAACCATCTTCCTTGCAGCAACATATCAAATCCAGCCCCGCATGCAAATCCATTCTATGAGATGGAAGGCTCCAGCAATAGAGATGTGACTCATAAGAATGGCCTCAGTTGTAGCTACTGAGGTTGGTGTCCTTACAGCTAGGGTTTCAGCCTGAGGTTCCCGCCATTCTTGTGAGGAATAATCCATTCTCGGTATGAACAGGAAGTAACATGATGACTGTAAACTGTGATATGCATAGGGGCTATTGGTGGTTTTCAGTAACGTTCCCTGCCAATCTTCACCCAAAGGATTCCGCCCCCCTTTTTGGAAGTGCTGAATGGGAGAGAATCCTTTTGAACTTAGCACAAGTGATTTCAGCATTCCAGCTGACTGATGCATGAGGGCTTTTAAAAAAAATCAAAATCAAAGTGGCTTGTTCATCTTGTCACCCAGAATGTTAAAGCCACCCCTGTAATAGAATTGGTACAGTATTGCTGAAAATGGCTTGAGAAATGCTTCTGGGAAAGATGGGTTTGCTCTTTAGAAAGAGGGACGAGGTGGGGGCCGTGATGGGGGTGGAGCCCGGTTGGGGGGTGGAGCATGAGGAGGTGGTGGGAGTGGTGGGAGGGTGCAAGGTGGGGATGGAGTGGGTGGTGTTGGTGTGCTAGGTGGTGGTGGGGTGTAGATCGGGGCAGGGGGAGGTGGGTTATAAATGGGGGCAGGGGGTGGAGAGGGGGGATGATATGCATTGTTGAGCGGGTACTTTGGCGGAGCCTGAGCAGTTTTCACTCTGGTGAAATTAATGCAGCGACCCTGAAAGAGAAGCAAAAAAGAGAGAGACCACTTAGCATGGAGATGAGACTATTTAAGACCTCATAGAGACAGGGCTGTGTGTAGGTCCCAATTCTACACAAGTGTGAGAAAAGTGCAAATCTAAGCTTTTATTTTAAAGCACAAGTTCCTACCCCTCGTGGCTGTAAAAAGGCACTTGGAAGTGTGTGGGCACTCAGTGCTAGGAGGGTGGCTGAATAAGATCTCCAGGGCTTTGGTGCATCATAGCCTTTTGCCCCTCTGCCCTGACTACTCGAAGAAATCATGCCAAACAGAGGAAATTAATATGCATATTGGTATCCAGCTCACAGACTTCTGGGTACAGAATTCTGAGTTTGTTTGTTTAATGGAATGTACACACAGCCCTGGATACAAGGACACTTTCCAAAAAAAGCCACATTTTATGAATATGGTGTCTCTTGACACATTTGCCATAAACAGAGCCAGACAGCTGGAATCAGACAGTGTTTGAATCCACAAGGAAACCATGCTTCCTCTTAGTGCCTTCACAGTCTGCACTGAGCAGAGAAGGTGAGCAGGGCTCCATTCCTAACCAAGCAAAGACTCACATAATGGCCTCGCACATGCTCCCCTCCCCACCCGTAAAATAGGAAGAAAACTCTTTCACCAGGCTAAGTTTAACGGTAAAATAATTTCTGTGCTCAAACCACTGCAATGCTTGGTGGCAGATCAGTAACCCCATTAAAGTAATGCTGAAGTTTTCATTATGCGAGTCTTAGCCTAATTGTATGCTAAGGAAACAAACAATATTTTAATTTTTTTTAAATGACAACCATATTTTTTTAGATGACAACCATCATAGCAGGAATCCCTTGGATGAGGAATTCCTTTGGTGTGTGGGGGGAGTACCTTTTCTAGGAGGATACCTAACTTTCACAGCTTTTGTAAGGTTCTGTAAACACAGAACAGTGAATAAGGTTATAGTTATTTCCTTATTGCAGGTCGCATGCCATTTCTTGGACTTTTTTGCTGTTATTGTTTGCATTGTCGTCTTATCTTGTAAACGTAGCCCCGTTGCTTTGTTTCTTTGGATGTCTTATCCTGTCTGACTGCATTTTCAAAAAATAATTTGGAATCTGCCTTGCGTCCCTGTGAGAAAGGCAAGCTCTAAGTGGAATAAGTAAAAAAATAAATTGACTCTCTGTGAGAAAGGTGAATTAGGAATGAATGAACAAATGACCAAATAAAATTAACACTTAAATTTTTTTGCCCAATAATCAGAGGCGTTTTCTGCCCAGAGGGGTTTTGTTTTAATGAACTAGGCTTAACCGTACAGAACATGAATCCTCTTAGCCATCTCAGTCCCTCAGTCCCACAGCTACTCCCCACCAATATACTGCATGAAAACATGGTTGTGAATCTAGTTGCTGGTCTGGTTAAAAACAGGACCACTCATTGCCATACTGTTACCTCTGTTGTCTCACAGTTATAGACATTCGGACTATAAGATTCTTGGTCCAGGAACCTGGGGCTGGGGGGATGCTGGCAGCCTGAGCACTGATGATGCTACATTATTAATATTTATTTTAAAAAAGGATTTCTTTCACAATTAAAATCTCATCATTTTTCTGCCTCTTCCCACAAAAGCAGGTGCAGTGCTGGAAGGAGTCGTAAAATCCATGGGGACTGAAGCGTTCTTTCTCCTCTCCCACATATTAAAAATCTGGATCCAATTTCCATGACAGAACACAACAACAGTAGAACTGTGGAGCAGTCCAGATTGGTGCTCACACCTAGGGTTTGTGCTTTTGCTCAAAAGAACAGGGTAAAAGGCATTTAAGAATCACTTATATGGTAATTTTAGTGGGGGGTTGTAGAATGTGGTTGACTTTGGTTGAATTTAATTATTTGATTCCAAGACTCCACCACAAAGAGAGTCTTTGCTCATCTATAAAAACAGCACTAGTTTATACAGTCAGTTCATGTTTCATTTCCTCTCAAGATTTCCACCTGTGTAGGTAAAAAACCCTTTATGCACCCAGACACAGGACATCATTATATCTAATTGCAAAACTGACCCTAGAGTGTGGATAAAAAAATTCACACAATGGGGCCAGGGACAGACAGAGGGTGGTTAAAACCCACAAAATAATAGAAGCAACATTTGGGGGGGGGGGTGAGCTAACTCTCTCCCTGTCGGTGGCATTTGGGGCTTCAGATATGCGCTTTACCAAATAACCAGTCAAAAAGAAATTAGCACTCATGCTTCATTCCATGCCTGCTGCGGAGGTAGGAAGAGCTTTATATTTGCTGGATCTCTTGTTCGTTCACCCGGTGTGCGTCTCTTGGAGTCATGATGGCACTGCAGTGACGGGACCTATCGGGGCTCGGAGATGCCTCAATCCCTTGGCCGCAGCCTTGGGAGAGACAACCTCCAGTGCCCCAGGCTGGGAGTCCCCTGCAAGGACTCCAGGGGGGTCCGGATCAACCGACCCCCCTCCCGTCTGCCGCGTCATGGGCTGCTTCTTTCAGAGCACTGAAGGAGTGTGCCCGCCATGAAAGTCGCCAAAACCAGAAGTCGGGCAAAGATCATCAGGCCCAGAAACTGCCCACTAAAGCAGTTCAGTCAAGGCAGTGATATACACCTCACTGTTTTGTTCAGTAAAATGCCTCCTTTGCCATGTCATGGAGAGAATCCTTTGGAGACTAGGCAGCAGAATTATCTGAAAATAAATCTGACTCATGCTAAACTCCAGTGCTTCACCACATGCGGAGGAGACTTCTCCTCCTCTTCCAGGCAGGCGAAGGTGCGCTGCCACATGACAGTGTTGTGTAGCTGAACAGGTTGCAGGGGAAAGGCCCTGGCAGGGCAGTTGCCCAGGAGCCCATACTGGGCCTCACCTAGCATCATCTGACTATACTGCCATATCAAAGAGGCTGGTTCCATTCCATCTAGGGTTGCCAGGTCTGGGTTGGAAAATACCTGGAGACTTTGGAGATGGATCCAGGAGAGGGCGGGGTTTGGTGAGGGGAGGGGCCTCTGCATGGTACAATGCCATAGAATCCACCCTTCAAAGCAGCCATTTTCTCAGGGAGGGCTGATCTCTATCAGTTGGAGATCGGTTGTAAAAGCAGGAGATCTCCAGGCCTCACCTGGAGGCTGGGAAGCCTAATTCCATCACCCTCCTAACAGATCAAATCAGCTTATGCTAGGACAACTGGAAATCAAAGTGCACATTTTAATTTACTTCTTATCCTTTGATTCGTTGTTCCCAGTCAGGCAACCATCTTATTTTACATTTATCTGATTTTATGAAACTGGATGTGTCTGGTTCTCTGCATTCTAGCAGATGGCAGGTCACAAACACATACATAATAAATCAGAAAAGAAGACATCCCATCTCTGACCCCCTCCCATCCCCAACTCAGAATGATTTGATAAAGGCATTGGTGTTTGTTGCGGTGGAGACAAGGAGACGCAGGCCTGTTGTTTTTTCCCCAAAAGCCCAATGCTGTTTCGATCCAACTAGCTAGCCAGCCAATGACGATATCATTCCTTGCGGCTATTAAAACCCCCCATCTCCCTAAGCCTCAAGCACTCAGTGGAGGGAAGCAGGCCCTGGTCCCAGAATGTCTGCCAGGCTGTCGTGCAAGGCTGATAATGATGATCAGCTGTCTCATATCAAGGGGAAGAACAATGAGAATCTGCTGCCATTGTCAAAGTGAATTTGGAGGCTAGTCCTCCAGCAATACACCTAGGGCAGGGGTGTCGAACATAAGGTCCAGGGCTCTTACCCGGCCTGCAAGCAACTGGTATGTATGGAAATGTAAGGTACTCTCCCTTTTATGGTATCCCTTGGGGAAAAACCAAGTCTTTCTTGTGATTAAATACATTTATTGGGGCTTTTGTGGGTTCCTCAGTAAATCAATTGCTTTCACTGCTAGGAATCAATTGCTTTTGTTTGTATTTGGAGTTAAAAATAATATTGTTAATTGGGCTTGCCTGTGTCCTTTATAAAGCTTATATCTCCAGTATCTGGCATTACATTTTATGGCACACATGACCAAGCCCGACAAACTGACATTTATGTCAGATCCGGCGCTCATAATGAGTTTGACACCTCTGACCTAGGGGATTCTGAGGGAAACAGAAAGAGAATTTTGATGAGACGAAAGAAATGTCTCAGGAAATTCTTGTGCCTGAGGAGAAACAAGTTTGCCATAACAACACATCACAAAGATCAGGACGGCAAGAATGAACATCACTGTTAAAAGATGCCGGGATGCCAGCGTGAGGTAGTTATGCTTTTCCTAGATCATTCCTCAAGAGTAAAATCAAATTCTGTGTCTCTAATGGCAGAGACCATCAAGCCCAGAAACTTCCCACAAACGTCGTTCCACTGAGACAGTGACAAACACCTCACTGCTTCAAGTCAGGTAAAAAGGCTCCCTTGCCATGGGTAGAATCCTTCAAAGAACTGAGAAGCAGAATTACCTGAAAGGAAATTTGACTTATTCTAAACTATTCTTCAACATGTGCATAGCATCCAGGTGCTCCCCAAACTAACTGTATACAAACAGAATCCCCTACAAGCACAAAGGTAATTTGAAAACCATATATTGTATAGAGAAACACGAGGATCCCCCCCCACCCCGAGGCATGAATGACAGAGGTCAGCTCTGTGAAGTCTCTCTACCTCCCTTATAGGGGACCAAGCCAAAAGTCTCCAGTGGGTGTGGAGACCTGTCCAATGGACATTTGAAGAATAAAAATTTATGGTAAGTCTTTTTTCTCTACTCCCAGACAACAATGCAATCTTTAACATGTGGGATGTAAAACAGCAGTACCATCCCTAGGGTGGGCTTCTGAACTCCGGCCACATTTTAAGAAACCGCGCATCCAAAAGGCTGCATCAGTCAAAACTATAACGCCTGGTGAATGATACAATGGCCAGAGGCTGGTTCAACATTTCTTTCTTGGATTCAACATTTCTTCCTTCTTCCTCAAAGCTGCAGATGTA